CAGCCAACGGCGCCCGAGGACCGAGTCAGCCCGCGACCGCTCACCCGTCTGCGCCGCTCGAAGCGGGCCTCGAGAAGCTCCCCGGGCGCCCTTGGCCGATCGGTTGAGAACAAGAGGGGAGGGTTCGAGCCGGCAGGATAACCGACGAAACGAGGGATGGTCCACGGACTGGAGAGACAGGGCCGTATCGTCTCGCCAGAACGACTGGCTCGACTTACTCAGCTCCACGGAACTCGTAGTGACCGACCGGACCCACTCCTGCGTCCGAAGAACGGCGCTGGACATGTGGCGAGACCGTTGGTTGCGGGACGCCGTCTTGATAATCCCCGACAAGTTCGCCGAGGTAAAGTTCCGCGTGTGGGCGTCTACCTGGAACCCGAAGACCACCGCCGACCTCCTGGACTTCGCCGTCGAGAGATGCGTCCCCTTCCGTTTGGGCCTTCCAGCAGATCGATTCCCGAACTACAGTGAAGCCAACTCAGCCTACTCGGTCGCTAGCCACGCCATGATGAAAAGGGAGTATGAGCAACCAGCCGAACGCCTCTGGGTCCCGTGGACCAGCAACCCGGACCTGTATGCGCGGGACTACCTGGCTGCCATCACTGCCCTGCTGGCCAAACCGCACGCGAGGGGATTCGTAGCAAAAGGAGGGGTCATAGCCTGGGTGGCACACAAGTTTGGGACTCTCCCCTCCCACTCGGTTCTGAGCGATTTCATGAACGGACCCTCCATACGCTCCACTCTGTTCTGGAGCGGTGAATGGGACAACCTCGGGCCCCACGCGACGCACTCCATGATAGAACGAGTAACCCCCGCGGAGTGTGCCGCCTTGCTGGGAACGTCGGAGAGCGAAGAAAAGGGTAGCTTCCTGTATCAGATCTTTCCCTCCTCGGAATGGCTCTGGGACGACTTCCCATCGTATAACGGAGAGATCAATCAAGAAGTGGACGCCTTCCTTTTGCACATCGCCAACGGGCTCCTCGGCGTTGACAGCTCAGGTCGGCCAATGGGAATCAAGGTTACCCAGCGCACTCGAGCCCAGTTCCGCACCTTGATGAAACAGAAGGCTAGATCGCAGCGAGGAGATCCGGAACTCAGGGATGGCGCCAAGGAGATCGACTTCGAGACCTTCCACGACGAGATGTCCCGGACCTGGACCTCTAGTTGGAACGGGATCAAGCTCAGCGACTTGGGCCTGAAGGAGAGGGAACGGTGAAACGCGCACGTCCGAGAATGGGGGGCTCTGTGACACGGACCGACGATATCTTGAACTGTATATAATCTCGTACCTACGCGTATTCTACTTTACCAGCCTGTATACTCGCATACCCGATCGGACTGCCATCACATGATGGCAGTCAAACAAAGACAGACAATCTTCTTCTTACAACAAACCATCTGCGTCTCGCTCCATCGGTCCCTTCGACCACATCTCAAAGCGACGTCGACCGTAGTCGACCAGGGCCCGGCAGACCGGGTATAATCAGTTCAGGATTAGGATCATATAATTCTCGGGGCCTGCCATTTAGTGGCACGTCTCTGGTGAGCCTCGCACTCGAGTTACTCGAGTCCCGGGGCTGGGCCATAATACGAATATATTCTCCTAATTCTACGTCTCTTCCTAATCTCGGATTCCGCTACGCTCTTCCAGTGGGAAATCCACCTGCCGCGTTACACACTGTCAACTCATTGATTGTTTCGTCTGCTCATTCTATACACATGCCCATTGGTAAACTGATCATGCTGTAGGCACAGTCTAATCTTACCCAGTGGATAATACCACATGTTAATTATGCACCTAATGTCACACTTCCTGTCTGGGACTCATTGAAGTTCATCTGTTCTGTGTTACTTTACAAGCAGTTTGCTTTAGTTGCAACATGAACAGATGTAATAGAGTGGATTTGACATGCCCTGAATTGATTCCTAGGTGGAATATGAGACAATGGATTCACCCGCAAGTTGCCTCACAATAGTCAGAGATTGGTAATATTTGAATTTCAAATTTCATATACAACACTCTGTGCACTCAGAGCTCGTATATTTGCAAGATAGACTGTAGAGACATAGATGGTTACTTTTACTACCTCTGGGGCTGCACACATCCTTGCCATGACCCACTGCCTGCACCCCTGCTGGTACCCCCATTGGCACCCCCGCCGGCACCCCTGTTGGCACCCCCGCCGGCACCCCCGCTGGCACCCCCGCCAGTCTAGCACCCCCCGCTGCACCGGTGCCTTGTCCCCGTGATTTTCTTGTATGTAAGATTATGTAAACTGACAGCTCGGAACACGTCAAGTCACTAGCCAATCAGAACCTGTATAAACGTCGTACCTAAGTGTTTACTGCTCTTCTAACACTGTTCCTACAGTTATGCAGCTGAAAACCATCGGAATAAGGTCTCCTTCTGCTATTCTTATTGAATATGTAGATACTTCATATCATTTGTCCACCTAAAATTCGAAACATGAAAAGAGTTCACCATTGCTCAAGGTTCCTATGTAGACAATGGTTCAACATGGTTCACTTTGGGTATGGCAAAAAATATTTTTTCTACACACAAGCAATTCAATACAGCTGAATGATATACTCTTTGGCAGTGTCTGAAACAAATTCTGAGAGCCCTGGACCCTGGAACTATTCAAAAACTTGAAATGAGTCCGAAAAATAGGGTCTTGATAAACATGAGATATGGGCTGGTTTGAAGAGACATGGGCCACCGGTCATGTTGAATATAGTATTTTACAATGTTTCGGTGCCCTACCTCTCATCACATGGCCTCATTTCCCACTAAAAAGGGTGCATACACACTCAAGCTCATAAAATCAATTGTCACCCAGAAACAAGAGCAGTGAAGTTGTTTCACTGGGATTGGGTAAAGGTTACCTAGAAGTCACTTGGGTTGCAGTACAGAAGCTTTGGAAAGTGATTTTGTAATTGATCCACATTTGGTAGGCTGGCAGATGCTTGTGCACCCCCACGGCACCCCCCGTGGCACCCCCCGCGGCACCCCCTGTGGTTGACCCCCCCCCCAACCCCTGCAAGGATTTAATTGACAAATGTCCTGCTCAATCCATTGTAAGAGTCTACAGTATTATTGGATTCAGTAAAGGGCCCAAATGGTGTGTAGACAAGAAGTATGAAATCCGGAAATCAACAATTATGACACCTCCACGGAATATGCTGCAAATGGAGAGAAAAATTTGAGTGCAGACAGACTACCTGAAGCAAACAGACAGAGAAAAGAAACATTAGCCATTTCTTGTTGATGATGTTGGCTGTCCCTGGAGCATGTACTTGGGAGATTTGCCTAACAAATCAAGTTGCACATTTTTCAAATTTTTAGTTTGACCTGACAGCTTGAGCAGACCATGCTAAAATGAACCAAGTCATATATATCAGTGCCCCAAGCCAAGCCAAAAGATTTAGGTAAATTTGCACAGTTTTGATATCCCAGCCCCTGCCGAAGCATCAGGGAGTCACATGGCTGTAGCTGCAGACCAACCCCAGACACAGCCTTCAAACTCCTGGCAAAATGAAGGATAATTATGCTGCATGCTATGACCACAGCGAGAATAGATAGATCAAAATATGATGCAATGCACCCCTACCCCTGCTCCTGTGGTTGACCCCACAGCGGGCCCTGCGGCACCCCCTGCGGCACCCCCCGCAGCACCCCCCGCAGCACCCCCCGTGGCACCCCCCGCAGCAGACCCCGCCAAATGATGGGATCAAGTGCATCACCAGTCCCATTGTGCAGGGTGCATTTTGGGCTTTCTAAGCTCAAATTCATGCTTAACTAGTGTATTTACCGATAGAAATGATACCAGGATGATTTGGGGAAGGCTTCCATTTTTTTGGGCGGAAAATCACGTGATTATGCGCCCATTGTCTGCCACAGCATGCAATGGATCAAGCAACACCTCCGAAATCATGCCGAATGGTGCACAAAAGGTGCCCCAAAAGTCACGTGATAATGCGCCCACTGCCCGCCATGGTGTGCGGGGGGCCAGTAGCGCCCCCGCCAACCCCCGCCAACCCCTGCTAGCCATTTTTGATAATTTTCATGCGGTGCATCACGTGATTTTTTTACCCCGCCATCAGCCGCCATCCCGCCCATTGGATGTGTCATGTGATTCATTTTTTTTTCGCGCCCACCTGCCCGCTCCCAATGATAAATCACATGACATGTACAGACCCCCCCCCTGCTGACCCCCGCATATGCCCCCGCCCCCAAATGGACCAAATCCCCCCGCGGGCCCCGCAGGGGGGTACCTTTTAGGTACCCTCAGAGCTACGTCTGAGGGTACCCAGGAGGACCCCCGCGGGGGTGCAACCGGGTGATGGCGGTGGTAACTGAGGTGTCATCATCCAAGTCGTCAGTTGAACCAGACTGATGTTGTCGAATGAGGGTGCTGTCGAGCTGGCTAAGACCACAATTCTCTCGCGGCACCAAGTGGGTGCCCGAGAGGTCTATCAAAAATGATGCTGGTGGTAACACTGAGGTGAGTGATAAAGCCGTACCAGCTCCAATCCAACGCGAACACGTTAAAGTAGCAGACCAGCAAGTACATCCATGCAGTCACGGAGTAGCACACCGAATTACTCTGGAAAAGTAGAAGCCATCGTCGGTCCCGAACGGCCCGTTTCTGACGTACAGAGAGTACACGTTCTGGACCGTGAGGTTAATGCCGGTTGTCTACCATTCAGTAACACATGTGTGCCAGGAGGTGTCAGACCGCTGGATTCATCCGTTGTTCACATCCACTGCGGGATACAGAAATCGAGGGGCGGAGTACGGAGGAACGCGCAGAACGAGAGCAGGTCTGAGACTTGACAGTCAGCTATCGTGCGCGAGAGCTTGGGAGGAATCTGGACCCGCTTGGAACACGTGTGGCGAGCATTTTCGTGCTTCACTGTCCGTGTTTCACTGGGAAACTCAGATTCCACAAGAGGCTTTTTTTTCACAGATTCTGTGGTCCTTCTGTCGCTTCAAGAGACTGGCAGGTCCGGGGGTATGGCGCATCCGGTATCACTATCAAGGAACGTCGACGGGAGGAAATTGGATCGCCTGTCTTCTGCGCACGCGAGGCTCGGCAGCGCAGAGCTCAGAAATCACGGAGGTGATCGTCAATACGCCCCGGCCCCCGGGTGCACAGCGGCCGTGTAGGCAGCGACGTGTGTCTCGGCAAGTCGAGCAGCGACATGGTGCTTGGTTCCAAGGAGGAGACACCTGTGATTTGACCGTGTTGAAAGTAAGTAGGACACCTCAGCAGCGGTCAGGGACAATCTGGCCTGCACGGCCAAAGACAGGTGAAGATCACTGGTCACCCCCCTCTGTTTACTCGTGTTGATGACCTACACTGAGCAAAAGACATTTTCGATGAGCGCTCGGTGTCAGACACACGGCTTTGACCGCATCGAATGTCCTCACAATCGGGTCAAGAAATTCAATGCGCAGGCTTGATTTTGACTGAGTACACGTCATCTACGTCGTCTCACTCACGCGAATAAAATCCAATGCTCATGTCGGGCGCGTATCTTGTCGGGCGCGTATCTTGAAGCGTGAAGAGACAGGTCGGAAATGGTGATGGAGAGCGTTTTATAAGCCGGTGGGGTTTAGCACTCTTCCTTGGTGTTGCTTACTTGCCTTCGCGCAGGGAACTTTGCAACGTCGAAAGAGGACTGGTAAGAATGACGAACACTCATTCAGATCCTCCCTGCATAGACTGTCTACCGTGCACCATGTCCAACACGACATCTTGCAATTACTATCTTGCCTGTTTACTCGACGCCTTTCAAGTCGTGAGGGCAACCTTTCACGTCAATCAGGCTTCTCGGCACCGTACCCGATGTTGACAGCAGGCGGCTTGCGCGGAACTGCATCTTCCGGGTTGGCACACGAATGCCCAAATCAATTATCTTGGGCGCCATACCTCATGTCCAGCGAGCTATCAGAGGTCGCCGGGCTTTCTCTTCTAGAAACCGGCAGCCCTATTTAAGTTTGGGATCGCGAGGTCTTGGCCTACCAGTCCGCTTCGACAATGCTCGTTTTCTAGAGTGAGTCTTGATTCGTTGAACGCTCCCAGACCTGAACAGGTGTTCTGACTCCAAAATAGCTGCTCTTCTCGTTCTGACCGCGTTGGCTGGGGTCCAGGCTCCTGACTTTTCCGCATCGCAGTGGATCTGGACGACCGATGTTTCGAATGGCTTAACTCCCGTTGCCACTCGCGCGTTCCGCAAGGAATTTGTGGCTCGGGCAGGCAAGACACCTGTGGAGGCAGACATTATCATCACGACCGACGACTCCTTCGACTTGTATGTCAACGACAACCTCGTTGGATCGAGCGTCGACTGGCGCTATGCTGCGCGGTTCTGTGTCCCACTCACCGACTGCTTGAATGTGTTTGCCGTCAATGCTACGAACGGCGGGTTGGCACCCAATCTTGCCGCACCCAATGCGGCCGGACTTCTCGTCGCCATCCAAATCACCTACTCCGATGGAACGACCTCCCGGGTTGTTTCAGACGCGACCTGGCGCGGTGCCATCACATTCCCGAGCAACTACCCGTCGCTTTCATTCGACGACAGCTTGTGGCAGCCCGTTCTCGTCGAGGCAGGCTACAACACCTCCAACTGGGGCACGATCCAGGTCCCCTCCGTCCCCCCCGTGCTGACGCTTGACGGCGCAGCCTGGATCTGGACGACAGAGGCGTCCGGGGGAAATGCACCACCAGGGACCCGTGCGTTTCTTCGCACCTACACGGCGCCCCCCGGACAGCTCATCGCGTCTGCAACGGCAATCATTGCCGCGGACAACGAGTACACGCTCTACGCGAACGGGTTCCCGGTCGGCTCCGGGTCAAGCTTCAGCACGGCACAGACCTGGAGCATCAACCTCGGCGCCGCACCGCAGGTCGTCTTCGCCGTGGTGGCTACAAACACCCTCACCGCGCCGGCGGGCGTCATCTTCGCGGCGGAGATCAACTTCGTCAAGACGGCGGGCAACTGCACCGGCGGAGCCTATTTGGTCAGCGATGTTTCCTGGTTGTGGCCGGGGGACGCTTCGCTTCCGTCGGGGTTCGAGTTTCCTGGGTACGACAGCTCGTCTTGGACGGCAGTCACCATGGAAGGTGGGTCCGGCTCCCCTCCCTGGGGCGCAGTCGCTATATCTCCCCCGACGGGGACCGTCAGGGCCTTTTAAATCACGATCCTGTAGATTTGGTAGAAATTTGTGATACCTGTATGAGACACAGGCTACACGGGATGTTTTATCAAGAATTCTATCCGCGCGCATCGACCTGCTCGGTGCTCAACGGGAATCTGAAACTTGGAAACCTAATCGAGAATGTTAGCAATGAAAGATCTGGCAAGCCTGACTCCCGGTAGTCGAATAGGTCGGCGAAATAAGTTGAACCTGGCTCAAAGGCAGCGAAGTGACAGGTGAAGCATGGTGTCGACCGTTCTAAAATCTGAGTCAATCCAGCGAGATCTGGCTATTAAACAAGAAGCCCGAACACTTTCCGAGTGCCATTACTCTGATGTCAACATTGACAATGTTGAGCGGAGTGACCGGTCCGGTGCGATGTCCTCGGATCAACTCCTAATATAGCTACTGGATTGCCTCTTTTGCATGCTCGCCATCTCAGTCGCTTACCTTCACAATGGAATGAGAGTGTGTATTTCTTCACACCATTATTGTGTAGCGTCACCTTTGAAACGCCCATATTGAACCTAAAGAGGCACTTTTCGAGGTTTGTGGGTATCCATGGTGGATCAACTTTATATTTGAGCGCCTATTTAAGCCTACGGAGCATCATCTCTGACCTCACCTGCGGCATTTTCAAATCCGAAATCTCTGAAGACTTGAAGAAACAGCACCGGTAGACAGGACAATTTTGATTCAACTGCCGCTCACCTGTGTGTAGTCCTACAATGCTTCGTGGTGTCTGATATCATTCTGTGACTTCGGCTTCTCCCGTGGCCAGGCAATTGAGACGCTCCACCGCATGCAGAGAAATTATCAGAATGATTCGTATCGTCCCGCATCTGAAGCCACTTTGGGGTACTTATTGCCGAGGCTCATAGAGGGACTTGATTCCCGCTCATACAACTTCCCGGTGCGATTTCACATCGTCTAAGGGCTCAAGTTCCTTGCAAAATCTTTGGCATCGACCACCAATGTCCATCTTCAACTCGCAAGAAACGCTGGTCGAGTCCGCCCCGCCAACGACGCTCGTCTTCCGGCCCAACAGCATGCTCTCGAGCACCATCTCGGACGGCGCGAGCGGGCGCGTGCTCTATGATGTGAAGACCAAAATCCTAGGCGTCGTGCGAACGGATCTAGTGCTTTCCGGCACGAAGGAGGTCGCCGCGCAGCTCTCGCGCAAGGACCTACTCCCGGATACCGTCGCGTTTCGGGAGCCCGGGTCCGAGAAGCTGTATACGACGAAGGTCAGCAAGTGGCTGTCTAAATGGGAGTCGATAACCGGGTGCGTGGCTCGCAGGCCGTGCCAAGTCTGCGACTGACTTGTCGCAGATTGCCGCTGCCGACGTACGTGCTGGACAGCGCCCTCCACGGCCGCTTCACGATCCGCATGCACAGGGAACATAGACTCGCGGTGCTTATCCTACTCCTGATGTCCTTCTCCTGCGTCTGAGTCTCAGCAGCTGTTTGCGTCCGACGATACGACGATCCTCGCGCACTGGGACATGTCCCAGTCCACCGGCTCGGACTCGTGCGCGCTGTCCTTCTCCGCCACGGTGGACAGCGCATCGCGGCTGCAGATCCTCGTCGCGTTCATGTACCTTGAGCAGAAGGTGCGCAGTCTGGATGAGTCCGGCAGGAACAACAGCCAGACGCGTGCGCCAGGCGGTCCACGGCGCCTAGATTTTTCCAGCGGGGTATTACACCCCTCCGCGTCTGGTTACCCCAATCCATACACGAGTCCGATGGTGGTCGCAGCGCTTGCCGCTATCATATAGCCGCATGTTTCGCCCCATGTGGGATCGAAGAATGCTGGAGTAGGGTCACGTACAAAATAGCCACACATGTACATACAAGATCATCGTGCCATTCCAGCAGCGCCCACTCCAATGCATGTAATTATAAATGGAAATGGGGGCAATATGAATTGAATGCCAGATGCAACATTTCGGAGGGAGAAGCCAGTTCTGAACAAGCGGGACATGTACTGCACGTGCACCTCACGTGATTGCGATGACGGCTGATTTCAGCACGGCACAGACCTGGAGCATCAACCTCGGCGCCGCACCGCAGGTCGTCTTCGCCGTGGTGGCCACAAACACCCTCACCGCGCCGCCGGACGCGGCAGGCATCATCTTCGCGGCGAAGATCAACTTCGTCAAGACGGCGGGCAACTGCACCGGCGGAGCCTATTTGGTCAGCGATGTTTCCTGGTTATGGCCTGGAGATGCTTCGCTTCCGTCGGGGTTCGAGTTTCCTGGGTACGACAGCTCGTCTTGGACGGCAGTCACCATGGAAGGTGGGTCCGGCTCCCCTCCCTGGGGCGCAGTCGCTATATCTCCCCCGACGAGCATCGTCAGGGCCTTTTAAATCACTATCCTGTAGATTTGGTAGAAATTTGTGATATCTGAATGAGACACAGGCTACACGGGATGATCTATCAAGAATCTAATCAGCGCGTCTCTCGACCTGCTCGTTGCTCAACAGGATTGAACCCTGCTGATCTAGAACGCGAGCAATGAAAGATCTGGTGGCCTGACTCCCGGTAGTCGAACGGGTAGATGGAATAAGTTGAACCTGGCGAGATGAGAGGTAAAGCATGGTGTCAACCGCTTCACAGTTTGATTTGATCCAGCGGGTTTCGCTGTTGAACAAGAAGCTCAAACACCTTTCTGGGCGCCGTAACTCTTGTGTCAACATTGACAATTGTTGAGCGGAGTGACCGGTCCGGTGCGATGAACTCGGATCCATGCCTATTGATTGCCCCTTTTGTCATGCTCGTCATGCTCCGCTTACCTTCATAAAGGGTTGAGGGTATGAATTCCTAATTATCATTCTTATCAAGCATTCCCTTGGAAAGCCCCGATTGCACCTAAAGAGGCACCGTTTCCAGGTCTGGGAGGTGTCAGAGGTGCATCAATCTGTACTTGAGCGCCTATTCAAACGCTACCTGGCATCCATCCGAGGTCTCTAAACACACCGAGGGATTGCGAATATCACGGCCCATAAAGAATCAATTATATTCTATATATTGGGGCAGAAAAAATGAAGGGATCTGATATGTGACATATCGGGCACCCGGATCATACCCGGCACCCGATATCTGTGGTATCAGGTTGTTTTTGCGCTGATATGTGACATATCAGGTCAGCTTCTTTTTGGGGTCACGATATTTGGAATATAATTTATTCTTTATGGGCCGTGTTATGTGTGATCCCCCGGTGTGAAACTCACTTCCGGTATGTTCACATCAAAAACTGCTGACAACTTGGACAGAAAGCGCCGGTATAAAGGGCTATTTGGATACAACTGCCGCTCAACCTGTGTGTAGTCCTACCATTTTCGTGGTGGTGTCTGATGTCATTCTGAGACTTCGGCTTCCGCCGTTGCCGGGCAATTGAGACGATCCAGTGCATGCCGAGGGATCATCAGAATGATTCGTATCGTCCCGCATCTGAGGTCACTTTGGGTGACTTATTGCTGCGGCTCATGGTGGGACTTGATTTGCGCTCATACAGCTTACCGGTACGATCTCACATCGTCTCAGCACTCAATTGTCTTACAGCGTCTTTTGCATCGACCACCAATGTCCATCTTACACTCGCAAGAGACGCTGGTCGAGTCGGCCCCGCCAACAAGACTCGTCTTCCGCCCCAACAGCATGTTTTCGAGCACAATCTCGGACGGCGCGAGTGGGCGCGCGCTCTACTCTGTGAAGACCAAAATCCTGGGCGTTGTGAGAACGGATCTGGTGCTCCCCGGCACGAAGGAGGTCGCCGCGCAAATCACACGCAAGGACCTGCTCCCAGACACCGTCGCGTTTCGCGAGCCAGGGTCCGAGAAGCTGCATAAAACGAAGCTCAACAAGTGGCTGTCGAAAGGGGAGTCGATAGCTGGGTACGTGGCACTAGGCTCTGACTCTCCGGTGGTGCCATGTTGGTGATTGAGCTCACATAGACAGCCGTTGCCGACATACGTGCTGGACAGCGCCCTGCATGGCCGCTTCAAGATCCGCATGCACAGCGAACACAGGCTCGCGGTACGCCTTCTGCACCAACGTCCGTCTCCCGCGTCTGAGCGCTAGCAGCTGTTCGCGTCCGACGATACGACGATCCTCGCGCACTGGGACATGACCCCGTGCACTCGCTCGGGCTCATTCGCACTGGCGATGTCTGCCACGTTGGACAGTGCATCGCGGCTGCAGATCCTCGTCGCGTTCATGTACCTTGAGCAGAAGCTGCGGAATCTGGAAGAATCCGGCAGGAAAGACAGCCGGACGCGTGCGTCAGGCGGTGCAGAGCTCCCGGATCTCAATCCCTATGCGTTCGGTTCCCCCAATCTATACGCAAGTCCGATGGTGGGTGCCGCGTTTGCCGCTTTCTTTCAGTCGCAGAATTAGACCCATGTGCGATCGAGAGTGTATATTGTTATATATTGTAATGTTGGCGATGGTAATCAAAGGCCAGACGCAACATTTCGGAGGGAGAAGCCAGTTCTGAGCAAGCGAGGTCCACCTAAGGAACATCCGCCGCGGAGGGTACCCCCCCCTGTTAGGGGTCAAAATTCGACTGATTTGGGTACCTAACAGGGGGGTACCCTCCGCACTTTAGGCCATCCTCCGCATCGAAAGCTCCGCAAATGGGCATCAAGCATCCGCAGCAGGCCCCGATACCAGTGGCGGATCCATCCGCTCCTGGCTCTCCCCGTGACCGTCATGATGCCATCTTTCCGGTCATCCGTGAGCGACATCAGGTGACTGAAATTTTGGCAGGCACCCTCCGCATTCCTGATGCTCTCAGCCTTTCAGTGCTTGCCTGCGGGTGTTGTCCCACCGTGGAGTTGAGCCTTCCGTAGCACATATGCGACCATGCTCTCTGCTTCTCACTGATTGCAGCTACTCCAAACTCCAATGTGTGCAGAAATCAAATAATTGCAGGGGGATCCATTCAGGGCTTGGGGCATCCGCACTGATATTGGATTGGTCGAAAGCAGGGTTCCAGTGTTCGTGACGTGAGACTGGTCTGAGAGACGCTCCAATATCTCATAGAACAGACAGACAGGGCAGATAGGGCCTTGCCACGTCCACGGCAGGCGCCAGGTGCGCGGGGCGGATGCATCTGCCGCATGCGGCCCAGGGCCAGATCGGGCCCCGCCCTGCTCAATATCGGTTCCATAGACCCTGCAGCTCAATTCCCGGCAATGGACGACCTCTGCGCATGACCGATGGCCCCCCGACGTCCACGGTAGCTGCCAGGTGCGCTGGGCGGATGCATCTGCCGCATGCGGTCCAGGCCCAGATCGGGCTCAATATGGGCCATACACACCCTCCAGCTGAATTCCCGGCGACGGAAGACCTCTGCGCATGACCGATGGCCCCTCGACGTCCACGGTAGCTGCCAGGTGCACTGGGCGGACGCATCCGCCGCATGCGGTCCAGGGCCAGATCGGGCCCCGCCCTGCTCAATATCGATTCCATAGACCCTCCAGCTCATGCCCCGGCAACGGACGACCTCTGCGCATGACCGATGGCCCCTCGACGTCCACGGTAGCTGCCAGGTGCGCTGGGCGGACGCATCCGCCGCATGCGGTCCAGGGCCAGATCGGGCCCCGCCCTGCTCAATATCGATTCCATAGACCCTCCAGCTCATGCCCCGGCAACGGACGACCTCTGCGCATGACCGATGGCCCCCCGACGTCCACGGTAGCTGCCAGGTGCGCTGGGCGGATGCATCTGCCGCATGCGGTCCAGGCCCAGATCGGGCTCAATATCGGTTCCATAGACCCTGCAGCTCAATTCCCGGCAATGGACGACCTCTGCGCATGACCGATGGCCCCCCGACGTCCACGGTAGCTGCCAGGTGCGCTGGGCGGATGCATCTGCCGCATGCGGTCCAGGCCCAGATCGGGCTCAATATGGGCCATACACACCCTCCAGCTGAATTCCCGGCGACGGAAGACCTCTGCGCATGACCGATGGCCCCTCGACGTCCACGGTAGCTGCCAGGTGCACTGGGCGGACGCATCCGCCGCATGCGGTCCAGGGCCAGATCGGGCCCCGCCCTGCTCAATATCGATTCCATAGACCCTCCAGCTCATGCCCCGGCAACGGACGACCTCTGCGCATGACCGATGGCCCCTCGACGTCCACGGTAGCTGCCAGGTGCGCTGGGCGGACGCATCCGCCGCATGCGGTCCAGGGCCAGATCGGGCCCCGCCCTGCTCAATATCGATTCCATAGACCCTCCAGCTCATGCCCCGGCAACGGACGACCTCTGCGCATGACCGATGGCCCCCCGACGTCCACGGTAGCTGCCAGGTGCGCTGGGCGGATGCATCTGCCGCATGCGGTCCAGGCCCAGATCGGGCTCAATATGGGCCATACACACCCTCCAGCTGAATTCCCGGCGATGGAGATCCTCTGCGCATGACCGATGGCCCCCCGACGTCCACGGTAGCCGCCAGGTGCGCTGGGCGGACGCATCCGCCGCATGCGGCCCAGGGCCAGATCGGGCCCCGCCCTGCTCAATATGGGCTCCATGGACCCTGCAGCTCAATTCCCGGCAATGGACGACCTCTGCGCATGGCCGATGGCCCCCCGACGTCCACGGTAGCCGCCAGGTGCGCGGGGTGGATGCATCTGCCGCATGCGGCCCAGGGCCAGATCGGGCCCCGCCCTGCTCAATATCGGTTCCATAGACCCTGCAGCTCACTTCCCGGCAACGGAAATCCTCTGCGCATGACCGATGGCCCCTCGACGTCCACGGTAGCCGCCAGGTGCGCGGGGCGGACGCATCCGCCGCATGCGGCCCAGGGCCACATCGGGCTCAATATGGGCTCCATGGACTGTTCAGCTCGACAGGCGTGCTGCGCCGACGCATCCCGCCACACACCGTGCTACCGCTTGGCTTTTTCGGCGCCGAAGCAATCACCAATTTACTTGAGCCCTCATTCTCCCTGTCGGATCCGTGTGAGGATGCTTTATATCAGAAGCTCAGAGCGTGTCCTTCTGCGATGACTAAAAAATGTAAATTCTTATTTTCCGACTGCATGTGACCAACTGCAGACAAGGCACATGTATTTTTCGAGCACATTATATTACAGATTCATAGTATGTATAGATGATGTGGAGCAAGTAAATATCGGCTGGTATGGGGGAAACGCACGGGAACAGCAAGAAATCACGAAAGCAAGCCAGTGGTTCAGAGTCATTCATATCTCCTTGAACTTCTCATTGAGCTGAGCAGTCAACGCCTGAACCGTCTCGACATCGAATTTTTGCAAAGTGGTGATCAGATTCTCCAGAACACTCGGTGGAAGCCTCACGGCACCAGCTGTGGAAGTCGACTTGGCTCCCACATCAGGGGTGTCTGCAGGCGGACGCGATGAAGACGACGCTGGCTGCGGATGGCTCCGCGAACTCGATGCCTCTGGCTGCGGATGGCTCCGCGGGCTAGATGCCTCTGGCTGCGGATGGATCTGCGAGCTGGATGCCTCTGGTTGTGGAGACCGCTTCGAGCTGGAAGCCGTAGGCTGCGCCGGCTCCTTGAACGACTCCACGGTGGCAGCGCCATCGTCACTCCAGAGCAGGTACTGTGGGCTAGAATGATCCAGAGACCCGAAGCACCACCCGACTAGTTTCTCCGCAAGCTTGATGTTGCTGAGGTGCTGGCAACCAGGGGGCGTCTTCTGGACCACGTAGAGAGTCGTCTTGATATCTTTTTGCAAAGACACCAAGAAATCCAATTGTTTTCTCGTCAATTGGGATTCGTGCCCTGTGACCGGTGGCCACGAGTCTGATGGCCCTGGCTCGGCATCCTGTGGCCCACCGCCAATTTGCTTGGAGGGTGGCGGGCGTCTCTCTCGTGCTGAACGACGCAAAATTGGGGGAGCTGGGCCCGCGTCGTCGGCTGAGCTTTGCGCGCCCTGAGTCTTCTCCTCGTTGTTTGCGTTGTCCTCGATGTCCCTCTTTTCCGTCTCCTCATCTGCTTCCTCTACCTCGCTCAGCACAATTTCAGCAGACTTGAACTGTTTCTTTGCCGTTGATTGTTTCGGGCGGATGGGCTTGGGCTTCTTGGTGGGCGGCGCAGCGGACACTGGTTCTTCGGCCTTACGCTTTCTCCCCGGTGTGGACTGATCGATTCGGGGCCGTTTCTCCCATCTGGTCTCGGCATCGATTGCCGCCTTCCGCTTGGGGCGCACTGCCTGGTTAGCAGATTCCCCCTGCGGATCAGAAGATTGGTCCACCGCGTCTTCAACTTGTTTGGCCGCGCCAAGATCGGGCAGGGTCGCAGGTGCGGGTGTGGCTTTCTTCGGCTTCGGTGCGGGTTTGGCCATGGACTTCGACGCAGATGCTCCTGCGGACGTCTTTTCCGTTGATGCGGATGCTGCTGCCGAGGTCTTCGACGGAGATGCGGATGCCTCCGCAGGTGCGGGTGTGGCTTTCTTCGGCTTCGGTGCGGGTTTGGCCATAGACTTCGACGCAGATGCTCCTGCGGACGTCTTTCCCGTTGTTGCGGATGCTGCTGCCGAGGTCTTCGACGGAGATGCGGATGCCTCCGCAGGGGTACTCGATGTGGTCGCCGCCTTGGGGGTTGTGGTCTTTGACGCGGTGGCAGCTACCGAGTCCTTGCGACTGGACTGGGACCTTGTCACCACTCTGGCTCCCACGGCCTGCTCTTCATCTGTACCGCTCGCCTCGGTGTCGTCATCCTCTCCACTTTGGTCCCTCCCATCACTGTCCGACTCAGACCCAGACTCGGACATCGAGCGATGAGAGAAGGCCACGGCCTTTTGCTTCCCCTTGCCCTTCGCGCTCTCCTTCTCCTTCGCGCTCTTCTTCCCCTTGCCTTCTTTCTTCGACTTTTTTGGGCTTTGGTCAACCTGGCCGCGGAAGACCTTCATGCTGTCCTCTACGAGCTTCTTTTTGGCAATGACCGGATTTGGGAGATCGAAGTCATAGTTGACGAGCCATACCTCGCCATTCGTGGTCTCAGCAGGCAGAAATTCTCCCCCAGAGGATGCGAAGTGTCGACGAACCACCTCGGGGTCCGATGGGTCACTGGGACCGAAACGATAGTCATGAGTGAAGATGACGAAGCTGCCTGGAAACGTCGTCAGAGTCGTCCCATTAGCAGCAACACAAGAGAGACAACTCACCAGGTACAATATCCCGCCTTCGGAAGCCCAGACCATTCCCGTTCCATTGACCACTGGGTGTCTGCCCTCTGGCCTGGAATGCGAGGTCGAATTCCCCAAGACTGCCATGGTCCCAATCCCCCGAGCCCTTGGCACCCTTTCTCCTCAACTTGACCTCTGCTGGAAGTCGGACCGCAGCCGGATGCCCGCTGAGCAGGCAATGAGAATTGTAAAAGCGGTTACCTGCTTCCACCCAAGGAAGATTGCTATACTGCCGTCCCAAAGGTTCGCTCCCGATGTCAATTGTGGCGCAGGTACGTATGTTGCTGATGACTAGATGACGATGACCAGAAATTGATGCGCTCCGACTCTGATTGATTGAATTGGGATCCCAGGCAATGATCGTGGGCAACGCAGGCACGGCCGCAACGCCCGGAGCAAGCAGCGTCAATTGGTGGGCTGCAGACGAGGAGGTAGCCACGGCGGATGCATCAGCAGGATTGGCTGCACCATCCGTAAAGGGATCGGCGGAGGCATCCGCAGGGAGACTGGCCAAAGCGGCGGGGGGACCTCCGGACGAGCTCATCATCTGTGTGCCAGATGTCTCGGGGAGTGCACTACGATGAAGATCAGTGATCAGTTAGGTAGAATGAATGATGATCAATGGCTCACTACGCCGATGAGCGTGCTGCTGCCAGCATGCCGTCCTCATCCAGATGGCGCAACTCATCCATAGTCAAGGTCCTCAGTCTTTCTGTAATCTGCGCAATGTGTTCATGAACAGTGAGAAACGAGTATAATGTGCTCACTGGATGCTGCTTGAAGCCCCCAGAAGAGATCGATGTGCCGAGGCTTCCATCCTCGTTGATCAGGGAGCCGCAAAGGTAAGCCTGCCCTTCAATGCGATACAACCGATGGCACGTTTCGAACTAAGAGAACGTGAGTGAGCGTGAATGTGGAAGCTGCAGAAGACAGACCACATCATTGACGACCCTTTCGGCTTTCTGAAAGATCTTGCAACGTTCTGCTTTGGTCTGTTCCAGCATTTGAGCCTCCATGACTCGGAACGTCTCCAGAGCTTCCTCCCACTTCTCGTTTTCTTTGAAAGTATCGTAGCAGGCGCGAATAGTGGCCGAGTCATTCGGGGGTTCTTCTGTGCATGGATCATCGGGGAAAGCCTTGCGAAAGTAGTACCAGGGATTTTGCTTGTACATGCGCCCAAAAGTGTTCCAGTTGTTGATTGTACGGAATTCGGGAAGCTTGAAAGAATTCGAGACGTTGTAAAGAATCTGGGATGGGCTCAGGCCGGTCTCCTCGCCGGCAACGCGGATGCTTTCAAGGATGCGATCAATGTGGGATTTGAGAACGACTTTCCCACTCGGTCCGAGCATTGGGACTCGGGAAGGCCCCATGATATCGTCTAGAGACGGTGCGGAGGACTCCGCAGTCTGTTCCAGCACGGGCAGCGCCTGATCCGTGTCATTGTCCTCCACGAGAGAATCAAGCTGATGGAATGAGAGGGCCGATTCGGAAGGAGGAGGAAGAGTCGGTGCATCGTTAGTGGCCGACGGAGGATGTACAGGACCGGAAGTCTGCACCGCGGAGGCATCCGCAGAATGGACTTGGTCTGCAGAGGCATCCGCACCGCCAAAAGCTGAGGAAATGGACGTCAGCGACTGTTCTTTGAATGGGGTCTGAGAGCAGAGCCCGAGAGAAGCCAATGCAGTTACCGATGTGCCCCTGATCCAACGTCCCCTCCTGGCCTTTCAAGACCCCTGCCACATCCTCAACACTCTGCATAGCTTCAGCCTCCACCGAGTCGACGGCGATCTCTTCGGAACGGATGGGCCCTGCATCAGGTGGAGAGGAGGGACGAGTCGGAGACGAAGAGCGCCCAAGGGCCATCCGAAGGGAAGAAGTGGATGTGCGCCCTGCAGGTCCAGGAGCAAAGAAGTCGGCTGTTATCGTCAGTGGCAGTCCCGGGAGAATGAAATGTAGCAGACACACCGTCTCCATCGTCGAAAGTCGCGCTACCCAAACCGGGTGGCCTTTCGTTGCTACCACCACCCACTGACAACTGAGTGGCTGAGCAGTCTGCGAGCCAGTCGATCTGATCGGAGTCATCGATGTAGCCTGGAGAGGAGAGGGTCTCGATTGGTGGGAGCGTAATTGAGCCAATGTCGGGCGTTGAGGCCGGCAAAGGTGACGACGCCTCCAACCTGTTTGGGGTGTTCATTGGCGGGTATTCCGCGATTTCGAGTTCCTGAGCGAGTGAGAATGAAGGATGATCAATAAAGACACGTAAAAGCGAAGAGACATACCGCGTTTTGACTACAAGAGACGCGTCGTGAAAGTACGGAGCAAGCGAAAATGAGTGGGAATGTGATCTGATGTCATTCCCAGGCTTTGATCAACAACGAGACGGTCTGCATAGTCGTGTGCGGATGGTCTTCACCATCCGCTGCGGACGAATCAATCATCCGCGAATTGGATGTTTCCCTTGCGGACGTCCGCAGCTGCTCAAGACACCATGCGCAGATGCATCCGCATGTCTGTTTGACGTAATGAAATCACCCATCAGCTTCGGATCATGTCTTGAGGGCAGCCAATCAGAGGCATTATAACGGTCGAGTTTTCGAAGATTGCTCCCCATATTATATGTATCATCTCAGCCCAGCCTAAACTTTCGGAATTGACTGTTGGGGTATGCACCACCAACATATGAAAGACCCAGAACTAGTGGGAAGACATAAGATTTGACGATACGAATGGTCGGTACATGCACCCTTTAGTCTATGGGTAACTTACTACTTACTACCGCAATTCTCAATTGGTCAACATACCACTGACCTCAACCTCAGACATAATGCCTGCATGAGTCGGGAGAGTTCCGTTAGGCACCTGAACGAGCCTGAGTGCATGGGGCTGTCATTGCTGAAATGAATTTCTTGAATTGTGACGGAAAACGGAATTCGGACTTGAGTACTTTGAATGTCTAGAATGCGGTCTCAGTACTTCAGCCTGCATTCAGCCGCTAAAACACGATACTTGACGATCTCCCTGCCATCTCACTCCATGAAAAGTCCATCGCAACCAGAATAATTAACATGATTGTAACAAAGTACAGATATGTTCAGAAATGATGCGACGAACAGCGCCCAAACTATGCTCTGTGATGGAGGGCATATCGAAACCACGTAGGACAGCGCCAATGACAGCGAGGATCCATAACCCACAGTCGTAGCCGTTGGTTTGAAGTGGTTGGCCTGGCATGAAAAGTGGATGCGCAGTCCAGTCATCTGTAGGGACATGGAAAGTGTAACCATGCCTATTTGCAAGAAGAACCATTCGGGTGATCAGCGTCATGAATTCCTTTCAAACCGTGAACATGGCAATAGCAGAGAGTGAATGACAGACCTTGAGCTCTTTGCGGAACCCTCCGCGCAGCGCAAGACTGTCAAAGAAATAGATCCTACGATCAGAAACGCATGCCACAGCGAGAACCCAATGCTGCTGAGTTGCTCGGTGTATAGGAAGGATCCATAAGTCCCGTTCCCAATATTGCATTGCTTCCAGTTCAGACCACAGGAAGTCGTCCGAACACTCCGAACGCATGCGCGGCAGTTCATAGGTGCTTAGAAGAGCACAGCGACGTGCAGCAGGATGATGAGGATTGTGAACGTGCGAAAACAATGCCTGGAAAGAAGCCGCAACACCATTGATGCATTGCCCACTCAGTAATCCGTGGGGATCCATAATGCGGGCTAGATCGGCGGGCTCAAAGATATAGTTTTTGAGGGAGCCATCCCGAACAACGATATGTGGGAGCAACGCTGAAGACCTGGGCAAGCTGTTGTTCCTTGCCTGCAGCTCAGAGAAGAGGTCAAGGTCGTATTTCAACGGTGTCTGAAAGCCAAGTTCACAAAGCACGTGTCAGTAAAAACTTCTCATGGATAAAGGAAGATGAGCGACGAACTAGGGGAACGTCCCATCTGATGTCAATTTGCACCGACCCCTCATCTGGTATCGTTGTATCATCACACTCGGTAATATTCAACGCTTGCAAGGCGATATTGATCTCCTCCGTGTCTGTGAATCCATCAAAAACATCGTCCTCGACCTCGTCAAGAGACGTTGGCAAATGTAGATTTGCTGATGGAGCGGACAGAGCCACTTGTATCATATCCTGGCTCTGTGCGGATGCATTGGCATGCACATAATTGTCTGCTGATGCATCCGCGTCAACATTGGGGAGGCCTGCGGATGCATTGGCAGGATGCTGCTGGGAGAAGAAAGCGCTTGCTGATGCATCCACGCATTTACTGGGAGTGATCTGGCCACCGCTCGATGTGTGCATCTCATACATTCGGAAAGAAGGTCGCCAGCGCTCAGTTAGAAACGTTATTCGATCCATGTGGACGTTTAGCAGGTAAATAAGTGTAGGGTCTGCAACACTTAAGCGAATGGAATGGCAGGAATCTGGAACAAAAACCTTGGGTAGTGCGGAGGCTCTGGCGGCAAATTGATCGCTCTTCTTCTAGTACATTTGCAAGGTTTCCCCTCTCAAGATTCAGTCGGGAGAGTTCCTCTCGACACCGATCCAGACTGTGCATACTCTGGATCCCATCCCTGATGTCAGAGTCATCAAGCCACCGTGGGATCTTGTTCCCCGTAGGTAGAACACAGATATCCTCGAAAAGAGATTGGTCAGCTTTGAGTACTGATAATTTGGTCGAGAGCTGGGTTGGGAGAGGAAGTAGGGAGTGGGGGGGCATCTCATCCTCCAATTGTTCACAGAGGCTATTGAAACGGTTGATCAGGCGGTAAAGGACAGGCTGTCTCTTTGACAGTGCTTTACGTGTCGCCTGATAGAGCTTCGTTCCTGAGAAATCATTGAGAAATCGAGCAGGAAATGCGAGTGGAAGATTTTGTACCTAATGCTTCACTTCGACCAGCGACTGCCCTATCCAGCATTTCAGTCTCGTAGAAGGATCCCACTGCACGCTTTCGAATGTTGATCTTGAGATCATGCATGATCAGCAACGTCTTGACAAACTCAGCGGGAACTCCTGCCAAATTGCGGAGGTCTTTGCGGATGTTTAGTGAGCTATACAAGGCATCGGCCTGATGACTCAGGCTTGCATGGGAGTCCTCAAGTCGATCCAGATGCACGAGAAGCTCGGCTGAGGGTCCGCCAGACAAGATTGTCTTTTTTGTGTCTTCAATCGTGGTCTCGAGTGTCTGAATCTGATTTTGTAGCGCAATGACCTTATCAAGCTCCTTTCAAAAGTGTCGGGATACCTCTGGACGTCTTTCAGCAATCGTCTAAGCTCAGTGCTAACAACTGACCAATCCGCGGAGCCATCCGCGCAGCCTTCTGTTCCCTCCATTGTGTTCGCAGCTCATGGTCGGAGATACGGCAGTCCTGGAGAACTTTGACAGCCTTTTTTAGCTTGGGGAGAAGATTCTTCTCTTGTTGTCGATCGAGCCAGTGACCCAGGCCTTCCAAACCTTCTGAATTGATGAACTCTGTGTGTCCATCTAGGATCCATATGCGCCGTGAGCTCTGTGTTTACAATGAAAAGAATATCAATGCAGTGAAGTGATATGCTGACCCATTGTGTTCGGGTCATGCCAATCAGCTTGCGCATTCGAGACCAAAACCTTTCGACCCCTTCCATGTCAGATATTCCCATTCCTGTGAAGAATCGTGGACTGTAGACCAGTTGACAATCCCATTCATGCGCAAAGGAGTGCATGATGTTAATTACAAATGCAACACGCTGATGTAGAGAGGGTGAAAGAATCGGGTACTGTTGATATTGTCAGGATAACGGTTTCTAGTAGTGGATGTGGATGCTATGGCAGGATCCGCACATGAACAATGTTCGCTGCGGATGCATCCGCTGCAAGGTCAGATGAATGATCTGTGCCGCGGATGCATCTGCCACGAAGATCGACCATATGCGGTGAATGAAGATGAAGGGGGAAACACATACCAGATGACAGGAGTGATCGACTACACATCCAATATCATATGCCTGGACAATTGTAGCGTTTCTTGGAAGTAAGGATGCCACCTTCTCCAACAGTGCAATGATGTAGCATTGCTGCTCCCCGGGGGTGTCAATATTGGCAAGAAACAAGACTTGTGAATGCCGGCAGGTCATGACAAAGACCCCAGTTGAGTCATAGCGGTTGGGATCAGCCTTCTCCTTCTTGTCGTTAGCAGCTTCGAACGAATCCTGACACGCTTCTATCACATGCAAAGACACTGGAGACGTATTTCGGCGGGGCTTTTGTTTTCGCGCAGCCAAGATTCGTTGGCGAACAGAATCAACTTCAGCCTTAGAGACAAAGTACGCTGGCTGAAATGGAAGCTTGGGCCCATCTCCTGCAGAACAGAGATGTCGGAGACTCCAGTTGCCATCAGCGCCCATTTGTATATCACCACCTCTGTGATTCATGTCAAGGGGGAGATGAAAAGATGAAGAGTGACTCAATGTTCCAACGGCCGACCCCAGGTGGTCAGGCCAAAACAAGCCGGACATCGCTCACGCAGAATACGGGCCGCACGTGTAGGTGCTGGGGACTCAAGCATGTCCTAAGGAGGCTGATTCGGGATCGAAAACGCGACGTGATCGCTTGCGGAGGAATCTGCATTGAAGGGTGACGGCGCGGATGCATCCGCACTCAATGCATCAGGTGTTGCGGATGGCAGCTCGGAGCCATCTGCAGCCTTTGGGAATGAGGTTGAGCCGTCAAGTTTTGACGCGAGCACATTCTCTGTCTCTTGCAGGAATGTATCCAGTCTGCCCTTCAGTTTGAGACGAAGCAGCGACGACCATTGAATAGCTTGTGTGAGACTGGAACGAAATGGATCATCCGTATGTGGCAGGGTGCTCTGCCAGAAGGCACTGTCAGAATTCTCAGAATGGTCAAATGAAATGGATGCGTACACTCTCAGAGAGAACCGGGAAGCCTCTTCGTCGATAGACAGTACACAGCGCAGCTGCTAAGGCAGACACTGCATCCCCAGAGCGCTCGAAGTACGCTTGGTATGAATCGAGGACATCGAGAGACACTCCGGTGCGAGGATGACATGGTGAACCTGGAAAGACGCCATTTTGAAGAAGGAGAACCGCGACAGACATGCATCTGCAGGTAGAAATATCCACCTGGATCAAGTCTAGGTGTTAAATGAGCATATGCGTGAAACAAGCAAAATAGTGAACCGACGTGTAGGATAAAGGCACCGAACATTTGCGCTTACACTGTTGACTGCACACAGGGCGCAGGTGTGTATAATGGTCGATGAAATGTTGTGCCGTGGTTTTCCATAGTAGAGACGACAGAATTCGATGTATGGGCCTTCTAAGGCAGGGAGCAAAGCTTGCCAATTCGATGTATTCTTTTCGGAGCGTGTGTAGGCCAAGAATGGGGAGTAAGGCTCGCGGGAAGGGTGATATGGGAGATCGGGGCCGTCGTCGAATGAATCTTGGCTGGTAAACTGCATCTCTGAATCAGGACATTGGGCCGCAGATGCCTCCACGCCGACGGCGGAGTAGGTGGCCGCTCCATGGGCACCAGAAGGTCCAGGTGCGTGAATTGGGAGGGAGCTTCTGAAGGCGTCTTCATTGTTTGCTTCAGTACCAGGGTACCCCAACAGATGGGCCAATTGTGGGTCTAGGCCAGCTGCGAGCCGCCACTGAGAAGGCTTGATCTTAATTTTTCGTTTTGCATCGGCTCGTTTAATGGGACTCGTGGACGCCCGCCCGCCGATACCATGTCCCCTACCAAGCCTGCCTGTGAACTTCATGGAAGGGAGAAGAGATGGGAAAGTTGACTCGTTCACACGGAAAGGGCAATGTGATGTTGGCATCAAATTCCGCGGTGGATGGCTCCGTAGCCCGAAGTGCCACGATAAACATAGAACGTTGTCTGATTGCAATTTATCCTACTCATGTGGATCCGGCATGTAGAATGAGGACTCGGGGAAACTGAGGATGAATTCCGCACCGGATGAAGCAAGGAGCAGAATTTGAGCTGGAGAGTCCATGGAGCCCATATTGAGCAGGGGCGCGGCCCGATCTGGCCCTGGACCGCATGCGGCAGATGCATCCGCCCAGCGCACCTGGCGGCTACCGTGGATGTCGAGGGGCCATCGGTCATGCGCAGAGGATCTCTGTCGCCAGGAATTGAGCTGGAGGGTCTATGGAACCGATATTGAGCAGGGCGGGGCCCGATCTGGCCCTGGACCGCATGCGGCAGATGCATCCGCCCAGCGCACCTGGCGGCTACCGTGTACGTCGGGGGGCCATCGGTCATGCGCAGAGGATCTCTGTCGCCAGGAATTGAGCTGGAGGGTCTATGGAACCGATATTGAGCAGGGCGGGGCCCGATCTGGCCCTGGACCGCATGCGGCAGATGCATCCGCCCAGCGCACCTGGCGGCTACCGTGGACGTCGGGGGGCCATCGGCCATGCGCAGAGGTCGTCCATTGCCGGGAATTGAGCTGCAGGGTCCATGGAGCCCATATTGAGCAGGGCGGGGCCCGATCTGGCCCTGGGCCGCATGCGGCGGATGCGTCCGCCCAGCGCACCTGGCGGCTACCGTGGACGTCGGGGGGCCATCGGTCATGCGCAGAGGATCTCCATCGCCGGGAATTCAGCTGGAGGGTGTGTATGGCCCATATTGAGCCCGATCTGGCCCTGGGCCGCATGCGGCAGATGCATCCGCCCCGCGCACCTGGCGCCTGCCGTGGACGTGGCAAGGCCCTATCTGCCCTGTCTGTCTGTTCTATGAGATATTGGAGCGTCTCTCAGACCAGTCTCACGTCACGAACACTGGAACCCTGCTTTCGACCAATCCAATATCAGTGCGGATGCCCCAAGCCCTGAATGGATCCCCCTGCAATTATTTGATTTCTGCACACATTGGAGTTTGGAGTAGCTGCAATCAGTGAGAAGCAGAGAGCATGGTCGCATATGTGCTACGGAAGGCTCAACTCCACGGTGGGACAACACCCGCAGGCAAGCACTGAAAGGCTGAGAGCATCAGGAATGCGGAGGGTGCCTGCCAAAATTTCAGTCACCTGATGTCGCTCACGGATGACCGGAAAGATGGCATCATGACGGTCACGGGGAGAGCCAGGAGCGGATGGATCCGCCACTGGTATCGGGGCCTGCTGCGGATGCTTGATGCCCATTTGCGGAGCTTTCGATGCGGAGGATGGCCTAAAGTGCGGAGGGTACCCCCCCTGTTAGGTACCCAAATCAGTCGAATTTTGACCCCTAACAGGGGGGGGTACCCTCCGCGGCGGATGTTCCTTAGGTGGCGAGGTCGTGACCATGTTCTGCACGTGCATGACACGTGACTGGCGACGGCTTATTTCGGCACTTGCCGAGCATGACCCGGCACGTGTTATACCCACGCTGCTTACTCTTCCTGATTCCTTACTTTGCTGGGTCGGATACGCAAAAGAACTACGAGGAGCAAACACAGCGATATAGCGCTCCAGACGTTCAGAAAAACATCCGGACACGGCTCCGTCTTCCTGAGAGCATTCCCCCCGGTTTTCTCTTGCTTGTTACTGACGGGCGCTGCAGTGACCATTGCCTTGTACATGAAACTAGCAACGCGAGTAGAATCAAGCTGAGTGGGCGCAGTGAAAAATCTCGCTTCGTGTTCATTTGCGACAGAAGCATTCTCTGAGCCGTCGAATGAGCACCAAACGAGATCTGCCACCACCGGCGGACCGGGGGGAGACCTCCGTCCGATAGCTCCTCTTAGGCAGGGGAATATGTCAGGTCCACATCTCGGCGGCCGCGTCCATGAAGCATTGCGATGGCGGAGATGTGGTAGTCCGGAGCGCTCATCGCAAGGCCTGTCGCGTAAACTGTCTGCACAACTTCAGCAACCGAGGTTCGATATGACTGGAATCTATTTATAGGGGACTGCAAGTTGAAGCTTGTGATGCTGCTGCGTTGATGCGCGGGTGCTTGGCCGGTTCATGTTCATCGATTCAGCTCGTCTCATACGGCCGGACTCTGACGCTCGAATTGAGCGCGTGTCTTCAAGCATGTCGAAGCGAAAGGAGAAACGGACGGCAATGGTGATCATGAGCATTTGATTCAATAATGATTTTCAACTTTCCCCTCAACTGGCGACAAACACGTCGATCACCTGTGCCCCCTTGCACAGTCATCTGCCGACCGGGAATTTCACTCTCCGAAAGAAGACCGGTAAGAGCGTAGAACGCTCATTCCAGGCCTCTCGGCAATGGTTGTCTACCGTGGCACGCATCGGGGTCTCGATATTCTACCGCCTTGCCCGTTATCTCGACGCCGGTCTGCACGCAAGGGACGCCTTCGCTTTTGTCAGGCTTCTCGGCACCGCACCCGACGTCGACAGCGGGCAACTCGCGATAAACTGCGTCTTCCTGATTGACACAAGAATACTCAAATCGATTGTCTTGGGCGCCATACATCATGTCCAGCGAGCCATGTGAACTCGTCTCGCCTTCTCTTTTGAGAACCGGCAGGGATATTTAAGCTTTGGATTGCGGGGTCTTGGAATACTAGTCCGCTTCGACAATGCTCGTTCTCCAGAGTAAGTCCCCCGGTCGTTTCCACGCGGCGATTCGTACGATTTCTGACTGCAACACAGCGATTCTCTTCGCACTAACCACCTTGATTGGGGTGCAGGCTCTTGACTTTTCCGCCTCGCAGTGGATCTGGACGACCGATGTTTCCGGCGGCCAGGCACCTGTGAGCACCCGCGCGTTCCGCAACAAATTTGTTGCACCCGCCGGAAAGACGCCTGTGGAGGCGGACATTATCATCACTGCCGACAACTTCTTCAGTTTATATGTGAACAACAACCTCGTCGGAACGGGCTCCGACTGGACCAAGCCCGGGAGATTCTATGTCCCGCTCAACGACTGCTTGAATGTCTTCGCGGTCAACGCTACGAACGGAGGGTTGCTATCCAACCCGACCGCACCCAATCCGGCCGGGCTGCTCGTCGCCATCCAAATCAGCTACTCGGATGGAACGACGTCGCAGATCGTGTCAGACGCGACCTGGCGCGGCGCCATCACCTACCCGAGCAACTTTCCGTCGCTTTCCTTCGACGACTACACGTGGCTCCCTGTCTTCGTCGAGGCTGGCTACAGCACCTCAACCTGGGGCGCGATCCAGGTCCCCTCCGTGCCCCCCGCGCTGACGCTCGACGGCGCGGCCTGGATCTGGACGACGGAGGTGTCTGGAGGCAACGCCCCACCCGGGACCCGCGCGTTCCGCCGCACCTACACGGCCCCTGCCGGACAAGTGGCTGCGTCCGCGACGGTGATCATCGCCGCGGACGACCAGTACACGCTCTACGCCAACGGGTTCGCGGTCGGCTCCGGGACGAGCTTCAGCACGGCCCAGACCTGGAGCATCAACCTCGGCGCCGCGCAGCAGGTCGTCTTCGCCGTGGTGGCGACCAACATCCTCACCGTCCCGAACCCCGCGGGCGTCATTTTCGCGGCGGAGATCAACCTCGTGCAGACGTCGTGCAATTGCACCGGTGAAGCGTACCTTGCCAGCGATGGATCCTGGCTGTGGCCGGGAAATGCGTCACTTCCGCCCGGGTTCCAAACTCCCGGTTACAACAGCTCGTCCTGGACGGCCGTCACCACAGAAGGGGTGAACGGGGCTGCTCCCTGGGGCACAATCGCCGTTTCTCCGTCGACGGGGACAGTCAATGCTTTTTGAGTCATGTTTCCATGAAGTCGTGTCCAAGTTTTCATCTAGTTTTGACAAAATATCAATGGGCTCCGCGAAATTTGAAAAGATTGTGTATGCTGGGGATTTCGTGCCGATTTAGTGGAGATTCAGGTAAGTTTTAGGTACATTGTCCGTCATTACTGTGCGTGCAAGCTCCAGCGCATCACAAGTCGGTCCCAGTGACTATCCAAACTTGGTTGTTGTTATCTCCAGAGATGGGATTGCAGCCCCATATTTGGAGCTGTACCAAGTCAGCTCAGTTCATTCATCGAAAACCGGCCTTTTCGCGCACCTGGTTGAAACCCTCGAGGTTTCCGTCTGTCAGATCTACGCACTGGTTCGTTCCGGCCCACACGAGCTGGTTCCCATTGTTCGTGAACATCTGGTTTTTGCTCCCGGGAACACACGTCCAGATCTGCAGCTTCGTGCCGTTGGCGGCTGAGCCGTCAGTCACGTCGAGGCACTTGTTATCGTACGTCGTGATGGGGCCGGTGAACCCCGCCGTCGGCGCGGTCCACGTGTTGTTCCCGTTCGGAAGCTGGTCGGTGATGCTGACCTGGACGCAGCCCGCGATGACGACCGCCGCGCCGTCGGCGTCGGACTCAGCCGCGATGCAGTGCGCGACGTTGTCCGTCGGCGAGTGCGAGACTGCATGGACAAAGCACGTCAGCTCGGTGGTGGTCTTTTCTCCGCACGCTGGAGGCGGGCACTCACTGACGGTGGCGAGGATGCTCCCCGAGGCGCGCGACTCGGCGTGGCCGCCCCAGATCTGGTTCGTGTTCCGGAACGCGCACGTCCAGAGCTGCAGCGGGGTGCCCGGGGTGGTGCTCCCGCCGGTCCAGTCGATGCACATGTTCGTGCCGTTCAGGCGCAGGGTGCTGTCTTTCACGGAGATCCACTGCTGGTTCGCGCTCCCGTCCACGCACGTCCAGATCTGCAACTTGGTGCCGTTCGCCACAACGCCGTCCGTGACGTCGATGCACTGACGAGCAGATCAATGACTGCCTGACGGCCGCGGAGATGGCCGAAAGCGGCACAGGCACAGACCTTGTCGCCGAACACCTTGATCGGCTGGGGACCGGCATCGAACTTGGTGAAGAAACCGAGTTCCCAGTTCTCGTTGGCCGGGTTGTTGGTGGTGTCACAGGTCTCGAGGACAAGAGCCGCACCATCGGAGTTGGAGGTGGCGGCGATGCAGCCGGGAGCCCCGTTGATATTGCCGGCTGCGTGCTCGAGTTAGCATGGCGCAGTGCTGGACTATACACGGACACGCACCACCCTCGATAAAGACGCCGTGCGTTCCGCGGAGGAGGAAAAGAGCACCGAATACGATCTGGAAAAGCATCTGTAGAATCGGTTGAGGAAAGCCGTGCAGCACCCCCGTGTTTTATACCCGCCAGTCTCTCAGAGTGTGAGAGCATAGCCTCGGTTTGTAGCATGGGAGCAGCGGGGAAGACTCTCCGCTTCTCGAGCGGGGACAACTCCCCGCCTCTAATTGAATGGGAAATGTTTTCTTGGCAACACCTATCACCCATGTAGACCTCTGATGCGCTCGGAATCAACTGTTGGTTTGCTTGAGAAGCAGTATTCCAGGAGATTCCAGGTCTCTTATTACCACGACACGTCCCAGAGTGCTTTGCCCTCCAAGTCCCACCGCGAGTTCTCGAGAGTCGAATGTTGATTATCAAATCCGGATAGAGATCCAACCACACTGGCTTACCAGCAGGAAATGACGAACGCACTTCCACGCACACCATACCGTCGCACTTGCATTGAGCTCGAAGGCATCTTCGAAACAGTCTCCCTGGCTGACATACGCGGGAAAAAAAATTGGGCTAGATCAAAAGTCGCATATCTTGCACGCGCACAGACAGGTGTCGCGGCACTTGTCGGAGCCGCGATGATGTGCCAATCGCTGAAACACCTCCATGTCTCCGAGGGCGTTTCGGGCTCGAGCTTCAAGGGACGACGCTTTCGTCTTGTGTAACCTGGGATCACTGTCTAGTGATTAGAAGAGTCTACGGGCATCGATGTGAGCTTTTTGTGGCGAGTGAATATCGGGCGCGCCTGTAGCTGGAGCAGAGGTATATATTCGCTCGGTCAAGATTGCTGGAAAGTGCGAGGAGACTGTCAAATCGAGTGATGGGATGGGCGGCGGACCGCGGTGCAAGAATGAAGCTGCATTTCTTGTCAACGGCTTGATCCGGTTATCAGGACGAGTCCTGATCCGATCATCAATTCAACGTCAGCACTGCACGTGGTTTACATGGGAATCCGTTCGCTTCTTCTCGTCCGCCAGAGCCCTAGGCCTGTCATCCTCCGGAATGTGTACATAGGTGTGTCGTAATTACACACGAGAATGCAAGATCTTCGTTGCAGGTGTAGACTTGAAATAAATGAATGCCGGTCCATCGATCACAGCAAGTAATGCACTCTGATGGGTCTCGATTCTCGAACCGTTTTGAAATATCAGACAATGTACCTTACATGTCCTGAGAAAATTTCTACTCACTCCCGTCACGAGCTGACAGCAGACCCACGGCAAAAGATTTCACCGAATACGCCATCCGAATAACCCCTTCACCAGCACAGGAATCGGGCGACATTGCGCGCTGATTCCCATCGGCCAGGCACAGCGCGATGTTCAACTCGGTGTCTCAGGGGACCGAATGTCTGTTACATAAGCGACGCTCGATGGGAGAGTGTATTGATATTGAGTGCGTTGGCGGACAGCTGGTATTATTCGGGTGGCGCGGACGACTGCTTGCTCGTTCCTGCCCCCAGCGTCGATTGAGACTCGCCTAGAGCAGCCCGACAAACGGATCGCTTGGAGCGGACGTGGATGCGGATGCGGAGGATATGCTTAGCGAGTTGCCCGCCATGGGGGACGATATAAGAATAAGAAGGAAGTGTCCTCCTCAACCTCATTCCAAAGACTCAGCTCTACCGCAACACTCCTTCCATACTTCCCAATCGGTGTCAGGCTCTCTAAACACACAAAGATGTTCCAAGCTAACCTCCAAACCAACACTCCTTCACCCTTTATTCCTGATAGCACACCCAAAGTCTGTGCGATGGCGGTCACGGATGCCCAGAAGGCTCCCTCCGTCACCGTCAGCAACGAGGCGATTGTCGGTGCCGTGGGCGGTGTGCCCGGCATCACCGGTGCCGAAGCCGTTGTCGGCAAGCTCGACCAGCTCTGGGACAGCGGAGCCGTAAGTAGCTGTCCTCAATCAGCGGAGAATGTGCGGCTCACTGATGACTTCCCAGACCATCACCTACTCCTATCTCAACGGCACGCCCGCGCAACAGGCCAAAGTCGACGCGGCCATCCTCGAGTGGTTCCCGTACGCGAATATCACCTTCCAGCGCGCTCTCGCCGGCATCTTGCGCATCTCGTTCAACGGCCAGCAAGGTTCCTGGAGCTATGGTGTGTGCATTCCTCCACTCGCTCATGATATGGCATCCGCTAACGTATCCGCACAGTCGGCTTGGAAGCCCTCGAGGTTCCCAAGAACCAGCCCACGCTCAACTTCGGATGGGTTTCCGATTCGGCGCAGGCGACTCAGGAAGAGCGCGGCCTGATCCTGCACGAGTTCGGGCACGTCCTCGGCTTGATGCACGAGTGAGTGACCAAAACTGGGCGGTGACATTGAGTGCTAATCGCGATTGACCCGACAGACATCAAAGCCCAGCACACGGCGGCGCAGTCACTCTCGACGCCAACGCAGTGCACGCCCACTTCGCCAGCAGCCTCGGATGGAGCGCCGACACGACCAAGAAGCAGGTCGTCGACCACTACAGCACCACGAGCGTGTCCAACTTCCCCGCGGTCGACCCGAGCTCGATCATGGCGTACTTCCTGCCCCCTGCGCTCAACGAGCAGCGCGTGCAGATCCCCGCGAACGTGAGTCTGTCGGAGTCCGACAAGGCGTACATGGTTCTCGCGTACCCGCGCCCGAAGCCCCACGCGCTGGCGCCGAACTGGACGCTCGAACGCGCGCTGCAGGTGTTCGGCGCGGATCCCGAGACGGTCAACGGGATCCTGTCGGCGCGCGGGGACGTGCTGAAGATCCGGGCGCTATTCCTGTCGTTCCTCGTGCAGAAGCGCACGGGGCTTGAGACGCACATCAGCACGGATGGATTCGACGGCGATGAGGAGGAGGACGTGGGGACGATGGAGTTCGTCCGCAAGGAGGTTGACGTGGCGGCAGGGGAGGTAGAGGTGGAGCAGCACGTGGAAATTGTTGCGCCTGCACCGGTCATTCCGCCCATTCACGACTTTTATCTCCAGAATGGGCCCGCGAACGTCGTTCCCCCAGTCCCTCTCTCAGCCAGCCCACCTGTTCGGTCGTTGACGGAGGCGTTCTACGCCAAGCAAGCAGCTGTCCCAGTGCCGGAGCCGATCGTCATCGCCCCTCAGCCGCCTGTGGTCATTCCAGCAATTGTCGCGGAGGATCCTGTGGTCGTGCACATTCCCGTTCCTGAGCCCATCGCGTTACAGCCTATCGTCGTCCCGGAGCCCGCTCCAATCGTCGTCGTTGCACCTCAACCCGAACCAGAACCCATTCCCGTCATCGTGCCTCAAGTCGAGGTTCCCATCGTCGTTCCAGTGCCTGAGATCCCACCCGTCATCTCAGAGCCAATTTCGCCCGTGTTCGAGCCGGTCATCGTCCCAGTAGCTGAAGTCGCCGTCGTCGCGCCAGTGGTACGGACCAAGAAAATCTTCATCAAGAACGTCCCTCGGCCCGTCGTGCCGGTTGTTGCCGAAGTCCTTCCCGAACCGGTTGTAGTCGAGACACCATGCACTGAATACCTTCCCACCCTCACCAATGCGCTTGAAGCGGTCTTCCCCGCTGAGGAGGGCCAGACTTGGAGGCTTCAGACGAAGGGCAAGGTGATCGATCCCGCTGCTTTCGTGTGGGACACCTCTCTCGCTGCCGCTGGGATCGATGCACAGTGGATGAAGCCAGACGAGGTCGCTGAGGCCGAGGCCAACATCGTCGATCTACTGTTTGGAGGGGAAACTGAGGACGACGAGAAGACTCTCAGCTCTGTCTACGAACAGGTACGGTCTGGCCTCCTCACCGCTTTTGCACAGGCTCATTCGTCCGTCGCAGATGCTCTACAGCCTCGTCCCCAAACCCGTCCACAGCCCGCTGAGCCAGCAGCAGGACAAGATCCGCCAGTGGCTCCAGGCCGAAGTCCCCGTCTCCCGGTGGCAGCTGTCCGCCGAAAAGACCAACGCAGACGCCGTGCGATCGGAGACCAAGATGTCTCGGCTCGAGCTCAGCGAGTATCTGATGGACCAGTACTCTGCTACTAAGCAGGCTTGGGAGAGCGAGAAGGCATTGCTGATCAAGAAGCTTGCTTCGGTTTGTGACTGCGGCTTGCATTGTCTCGGTCGCTGAAGGATAGACTCACAGACCGACCGCACCGACATCAAGGAACGGGCCCGCTCGATCGCACAGCTGAGCGCTGCTCGGGAGAAAGAGATCGCTACGAAGTACCGTGACGCGGTCGTCGGTGGAGACATTCACCGCGTCAAGGAATACATCGCGTTCTTGGACATTCCAATCAATGCTGCAGCTCATGCTTTGCAAGTGAGTCCATCCTCTTGATTCTGCGAATATACCTAAGTGCGATATGCAAGGACGCAAAGGACATCCTCCGCGAAAGCTCGTCGGTTTCCCTTTCGGCCGGGGAGAAGGTCTACCCCGTCCAGCTCGCCCCGGTCGACTGGTTCGCTTCGCTCCCCACGTCGTTCACCCAGCAGGATCTCTCGAGCCCCACCGAATCTGTTGGCGGCGCTGATGTCCGTCCGGTGACACCTCTCGGCAGTGCATCGATTCAAAGCCTGCTTCCTGCTGTGAAGCTCGATGCACCCAAGGGTTGGTGGGAGGAGATTGTACTCGAGAACGTAGTGAGTACACAACACTTGTAACGGCGGGTGATCCGATCCTGACTTCTCTCCAGCGATCGGACACCCTCTGGAGCATCCCGCCTGAGGGGATCGACGAGGATCGGATTGACGTGGCCTTCCGGGCTTGTAAGGTCGATATCAGTCGCAGCGGCTGGTTTAAGCCTCAGATCTTCAAAGAAGGCCAGTCCTTCTACAAGGTGATTCACGGTGTTGAGTCGTCCCTGCCAGTTTCTCAGAATTTCCAGATGGACGAGTCGACTGTCCTCCCTCCCCAAGCCGGATATGCGGCCTCTTTTGTTGTTGCAAAGGACATCGTCGTGCGCGTAAAACACACGGACATCGCGCACGACATGAACAACGCAGCCAAATCGTCCGGTTTGCTATCCTTCGCGTATTCCAAGTACGCGGACAGCTTCCAGCCGCACGGAGATGGATTCCTCGTCAAGATTCCCGGGCCTCAGGTGCGCTTGATAGTTTGCCGTCGTGTGTTGGTACTGATCAGTCCTCCTCAGATCATCGGGTACATCGTCGAGCCGCTGCACACGACCGCCGCCGCCGCGCTCGTCCCCGCTGATTTCACGGTCGATGTGCCAGCTCCGGACCTCACTCCTCGCGTCGATCACGTTCACCACTGGCATTCCCACGACACATACCACGCTGTTGTCCCGGAGCTCAGACTCGTGAAGGTGGACGAAAAGTCGGAGTGCCCCGCGTGTCACCCCTCCCCCCGTCCGCATGGCAATGACTCGGGCTTCAAGTACACTGCGCTGCCGGATGCTACTGAGAGCACGGCCAACTCCGAACGCGCTGATCCTGAGGTGCAGAGGATGGCTGAGGAGCAAGGGCGGGATGTCCGAGCGAGCTTTGGGGTGGATGAGAGTGATCGCTTCCTCTAGACTCAGTACTGTTTCTTCTTAGGTTTTGGCTATAAAACGCGTTTCCGATGAGGTGCCCATCGTTCACTATACTGGGTATTTGGAATGAATGGAGCGATGAGAGCGGGAATATATATAATCCCAAGCTCCCAGGACGACAAGTCAGGCACACCTTGTGAAGCGTGGAATGAGGTGCCCTCATAATGAAGGGTGCTTGGCTTTCCAGCTCTTATCTCTATTACTGCTTCTCTGGGTCTGGATGGATTCGAAATCAGAGGGACAGTCACCGAAAAGAATGGATATTCGATGCTCTACTAGTGGATACATTGCAACAGACACCCGATCCCCAGAATTGAAGATGATCGGCCTGAGTTCCTATATGAGGGAAGGTTCGACGATGGATGATAGGCTTACAAGTACCAAATCCGAGTCGATAAGATAACACTATCAATTGCGTCGACTCTTCTGTCGCACATCTCCCCCATGTGCGCTCTGCTCTGCTTCACGGCTCTTCGATTGGCCCTCATCCGTATATTGCCGCTTTCCCTCTGCCCGCCTCTCAGCAGTCAACTGTGCGCTTGCGGGCTGCAGAGTCAAAGCGATCCAGTGGCACGCGCGGTCGATATTCAGATTGAACAACGTATCGTTGGGCGTTGTGATGGACGAGCGTGTGGTGATGGTGGGTCCCATGTCGTGCGCGTTTGATATAGGGTGTGCGAGAGACGTATCCGATGAGCCAGGCTGTTGGGTGCTGTTTTGTACGAACGGCTGGTGGAAAGGAGAACATTGCTCGAGACCAGCGATATTTCAAATCTGAGCGGAGCCCAAGGATGACGCTCTCCTAGCCGTCTCGGGACGGGATGTAACCTGCAGGGTACTCGGGAGAGCGATGTCCGGGATCGATCTAGTTCCCGACCTCAATTCAAAATGCGCAACGACATGCTCTGCACGACACAACAGAACAAAACAACAATTCTATACGACCCGCAAACAGACTAGAAATACAGATCCCACGCCAAGTGATAAATCCTCGTTCCGGGCAGACCGTATAGGGAACGAAGAGGGAAGGAAGACCGAAATAGAGCTACAATGCACAAGCGCAAGCTCGAGTGCCAAAAGACGACGACAGGTGCCAGGATTTTGAATGAGTCTGCAGAGAAATGATATTAGTAAGAGCGTCATTTAGTCCGAAAATTTGGACAAACCATGAAACGGGGAATTATATGCAATGCATCAATCGGCACCCGCGCTCCTCCTCAACCACCGTCGACTTGGGCTGGATCGGTGCAAACCCGCGAGCCTGTGATGTCCGTCAGTAAAAGCTCTCCAAAGCCAGGGCGTGGACGTACCTCGGCGCTCAGGTCAACAGACTCCGCAGATATCGGTGCCGCAGAGACAGTCAGGGCAACTGTAAAGCGAAGCATGAGCATCGAACTGCTGAGGGCGAAGCAAGCGAGTCACGCGTACCAATCGACAGGACAAGAGCGGCGAGGAATTTGCAGTGCATCTTCGATGATATGTAGTGACTGATGGATAGATGGTATCGCAGGAGAACGGCTCGGAGGCTGAGGGATGAGTGACTCGACTGGATTCCAATTCGGGGAGAACAATAACGACTGGGACGCTCCACTCCAGTTGATAAACCCCCCCAGACAAGGAAACGGCCGCATTCGGACGTTTCTTTGTCCTGTTGACACGCGATGTCGCGATGAACTCGCCTCCTTCCTTTTCGGGATGAGATTTCCGTTTTGGGAACAACGTCGTCCGGTGATGGCGCCGGGCGTGGGTACTCTGGTGCACTTTGCGTCGCGCCAGCACTGATGGCGTGCACGTGTCTTCACACGATGAAGTTATCGTGAGGGTTTCTCCGGATAACACGATGCGGCTTCTGTTTGCATGCTGCAATATCCTGAATGCATGTAGAGACTCTGAGACCGCTACGATGCTCGGCAAACACATGCACAAGCCAGCTTGATATCTGGAAACCGCAAGGCAGACCACTCTTGAAAAGTCTACCTAATAGGTGAGTTTTTGCCTGTCGCCGCATCCCAGTGCAGAAAGAGGTGATAGTCACAGACATCCATCACCTGAATCTATAGTCATCAACAGAATGTGTGGGATCACGAACACGCAGGTGTCGCTGGACGCTTGGTCGAAGCTCATCAGCTTCGATTGAGCCTCAGCTTTGCCTAGACTCACCCATCAGGCGATGGGTGTGTCCTGCTCGGGAAATGCCGGAGTGTCGGCCGGAATCAGACCAATCATTTCATCATGATCGATTACTATTTTTAGATCCCGCATCACCCCCACTCTGCATCATCAAGACTTCTCTCTGACGTCCAATGCCTGCACTGGTCTGAACCACTGAAGTCCATAGTGAAAGAGATTGTCTGTGTGAAAGATCGACGTCAATCTCAAGTGCAATATAATCGGAGTGGCCAAGTGATGAATAGCACTCGGTATCGAGCCATCTGATAGCTGTTGCTCAAATGACACAGTCCTCAATCTCCTTCATTTCTTTCTTACACTTCGAGAGCATAATCGCAACAAGCATTATGATAGAAAAACCTTTTTTGCAAGCCTTGAAACGGCAGAAAACGATCTGCTTGAGGATGTCTGGGCGTCTCCGAAGAACGCGATCACGTGACACATCGTGATCTCAAGTATACGTGAAACGAAGCCAAGTGAGTTGTCGTATTGCGGCCGATCCCTACATACAGGAGACAGTCAATAATTCCGTGCCTTCAGGTGCCTCAGAAGTCATTCTTGGCAGATCCCTAGCATGTTCCTGCAGACATTCATTCTGAATGCTTTTCATAACAAGCTCTGTTTTGACACCTAAAAGCTAGGATTGGACTGGCAGTGGCTTTTTGATACCTCTACTGACCCTTTGAAGCGTTCACATTGCAGTAATTATCTCAAGGTGTTCATTTCACAATGCATCTTACAGACTTGGCTCAGGAAGGAACTCCTCTGCGTACTCCCAATGACATGATTCTCTGCATGAATTTGGCAGCGTAATCGGGTGACTGTCAGTAAGCCTTCTGATGCGCGATTCATGAATAACTTGTGGGTGAAGGGCAAACGGACCGCGTTGACGGCGACATAATCATGCTGACGTAGCTGTCGTTGATGATGTTTCACGACTTGGCTGCACGGCTGCCGAACAGATTTTTGATCCACGGATAAATGCTGCATCGCATCATGATTGATGTGCTCATATCAATGTTTAGAAGGAACGAATTCGAAAAGATATCGTCAGAGGAACAAGTGCGTACCGAGCAGTGACGCTGCAGAAATCAAGTCATGCATCGCTAACCGCCCGGCTTTAGCTGTTGGCTTCTGTTCCACCTCCACACGCTCCTACCATGCACCTGCCACGCACGTGCACCGCTACCAGTGATTCCATCATGACAACGCCTGATTTCACCATGCACGTCGAAATCCGCCAGCGCGAGCCGGACATTTCCAATACCGTTCTCAAACCCCAAGCTCGACCCCTCGGCTAAATCCCGCACGCTCTCATCCTGAGACCCCTCACCTGGCTGGGGTGCGTGCCTACTGACTGCGCATGTAAACATAGTCGCTGACGTGTCCACGCGACTGGTGCACAACTGACCAGACTTCTCCGGTCCACGGTAAGCAGTGCACAATCACAGGGCGCCACGGATGACGTCGCTGACTGGATTTTCAATCCTGGGGTACTCATCCATCCATCCGTCCATCCATCGATGCTAAAAGGATCCGCGTCGGCTCCGTCTGCTGCTACGCCTCTTCCCACCGGACCAGATCGACTACTCGGACGCTGCGATGTGGTCGTCGGCGCTCCTCCTCCTCGTCGCCTGTGCCACGCACGCACACCTCGCCCAAGCCCTCGTAGCCCCCGCACACGCCGCGCGAGAGGCCGCGCAGGGCACCGGGCTCGCCGCCCGCGCCACCGCGGGGCCGAAAACGGTGATTGTGCAAATGTTCCAGTGGTCGTGGTGCGTGCACTCCGATTTACGCCCTGGGGGTACAGGTGGATTGACGGGCGTCGGTGGACAGGGACAGCGTTGCTGCGGAGTGTACCAGCTTTCTCGGGCCTGCCGGGTACGGCTACGTCCAAGGCGCGTTCTTCTCCCCGCGTTTTTTCTTGGCAGCATGGACTGATCGATCGGCCACAGTCAGCCCGCCCCAAGAGCATATCACGGGCCCGCAGTGGTGGACGGACTATCAGCCGGTCTCGTACATCTTGACTTCGAAGCGAGGAAATCAGCAGCAGTTCCAGAGGCGAGAACCAGCGCGTGGATTTCACTCGCTGGATCTGACGAGCTTTTTACCGCAGTATGGTCTCGACGTGCCACTCGGCTGGTGTGAAGGTCATCGCAGGTGCGTTACGCAGTAAAATCACTATATGTTTTCTCTGAACACTTCCAGATACGATCTTCAACCACATGAGTTCTGCCAGCTCGGGGACGGGTGTTGCCGGATCCACATTCACACACTACGGATATCCGGCCGTCAGTTACTCCAACTCCGTACGAAAAAGGCTCTTGAACATTCGTTTCAAAAAAAGCTAATCACGACTAGGATTTCCATCATTGTGGACTGGAGCCGAACGACGACATCGTGAACTACACGAACAGGCTCGAAGTGCAGACGTGCCAGCTGGACGGGCTGGCCGAGTATGTATTTTAACAGCGATCCACCTGTCCAAAATCTAATTTTGACGCAGTCTCGCGACCAACACGACACACGTGCAACAGACCCTCGCGGGTTTCGCAAACCATCTTCTGTCGCTCGGCGTCGACGGCCTGCGTCTCGACGCGTCGAAACGTACGTGATGTCCGGTTGATGGCGTGCGGAGATTAGATGACGCACAGATATTGCCACAACGGAGATCGCCACCATCCTCGGACTGCTCTCGTCCAAGCCGTACATCACGCAAGAGGTGATTTGGGGCCCTGGCGAGCCGATCCAGCCGACTGAATATGTGACGAATGGGGACGTTCAAGAGTGGGTTTCTGTGGTTATTGTTCGGACACGGCGAGATAACGAGTCGATTCCAGGTTCCGATACACTAGCGCTTTGATGAGCGCGTTCCTTGGTGGAGGGATCTCGAGCTTGCAGAACCTGGACAACCGTGGTAAGTTTTCGTCTGATCCCAATAGTTCTCTGCTTGATCTCTCAGGCTGGGTATCGGGCTCTCAGGCCAACATCTTCGTTGCAAATCACGATACTGAACGTGTGCGCCAATGTTTCTCTCCCCTCTTGTTCTATTCTCAACAATGTTTCCAGAGCAACCCCGCCACGTCTCTCAATATCAACTCCCCCTCGAACACGTACATCACCGCCACGATCTTCTCGCTCGCCCACCCGTATGGCTCGCCCACCATCCTCTCGTCCTACTCCTTCACGGCTTACGACGACGGCGCGCCCAACGGAAACGCCGGGGTGTGCTCCGCCACCGGTGGCGCAAGTGGCTGGCTCTGTCAACACCGGTTCATTGCCTTCACCGGTATGGTAGGGTGGAGAAACCAAGTCGGGTCGGCGGGGATGGTGAACTGGATCGCGCCATCGAGTCAGCAGATCGCCTTCGGTCGAGGTGTGACTGGATCTTCCTTTGCTTCGAGCGAGCAGCTGCTCACTGCATTCCACAGGAACGGCCGGATTCGTGGCGATCAACAACGCGGACTCGGCGTGGACTGCGACGTTCACGACGTCCCTCCCGAACAACGCGTACTGCGATGTGATCAGCGGGTCGAGCAAGGGAGGTGCCTGCACAGGGGCAGGCTACACCGTCTCGGGCGGAACCTTCACGGCGACTGTGTCCCCCAGAAGCGCGATAGCGCTGCACACGGGGCAGCTGGGCACCGGCTCAGCGGGCTCTGGCTCAGGGGGATCCTCGGCGCCCTCGAACGTCGCAGTGACGTTCGCTGAAACGGCCACCACTGTCTTCGGCGAGGTCAGATCAGTTGCTTTCGAGGAGGACGGCTGAAGCTGATTCAATGCAGAACATCTTCATTGTCGGAAGTATCCCACAGCTGGGATCGTGGGCTCCGGCCTCATCTGTACGTTCCAGCCACTATTTCCGCGATTCGCATTACATCATTCTGCCAGATCGCACTGTCCTCTGCAAACTATCCCGTCTGGAGCGTCACCCTCAGTCTCCCCGCGAACACCTCCTTCCAGTACAAGTTCATCCGCAAAGAAACGGACGGCAGCGTACGTGTGTCTTTCAATCCTATCTTTCGCGTCGATCGACATTTTTTGCAGATCCAGTGGGAGTCGGACCCAAACAGGTCGTTCACGACGGGGGCCTCGGGAACACAGACGGTATCGAGTTCGTGGCGCTGAGGGCGCGTCGGTTGCTGTGTGCATTGTTTGCTTTCTCTCCCACACTTGCTCGTTTTGTATATATATCCCAAAACGTTCTGCTCGGCAAAGTAAGTACTGTGGGGGCGGCGAGCGCGCTCGTTGGACAGGCCGCAGCTTGCTCCCATGAGGGAGAACTCGCCATGAGAAGGATGAGAGCGAGTGAGTTGATCGTTGTGTCGTCTGCGTGAGTGGATGACAAAGTAACCTTCCACATGGCTTCTTTTCTTGTCTGAGGTCGCTTCCGATCCTTTCGATCGGAAACCGCGCCCGCCGGACCTCAGTTGCTGCGGAAGCACCAGCTCGGCGGCCGACCATCACCAAAAGCTCCACCCAAACCAACTCTCATGACCAGCTTTCGTGTGCATCCTGCCAGCCGAAAACAGTGCATGGCCGTGAATGCCCTGGTATCTGGCGGGAGTGTTAGATTTAGACTCGAGGCCGGACATCAGTGAAGAGAGATCGTTAGACGGAGTTTTCCGGAAGGTGTAATATTGGGATCGATCATCGATTGCTTGAGGTCACGTTGGAAGGAGATATGAGATCCAATGCGGTCCGGAGACTGCGGAATTGGCGAGCACAAGGTGCGGTTGAGAGTCCTTGGCCTGTCATGTGCAACATGACGTCAGTAACATCAGCTCAGGCGCGGCGTCCCGCCTCGGACCTGGTCGCTCGGATGGACTGATCTCTAGTGGACAATCATAGAACTCGACTTGAAAGTCACGATCTACTGCTGATCGTAAACGAAACAAGGCAGATCCTAGATGTGTTGTGCACAAAGTACGCGAACATCTGCGCTTTATAATTACAGCAAATCATTTGTAGAAGATTGATAAATTGTCTGTCTTCGACGCGACAGATGGCGGACAACAAGAATGGGGGCATGTGAGATTGGACACTGACAAATCCATGGGCTTATGACCTTATTATAATATAGATTATCTATTTGTAAGTACGATAAATTTTCCAAATTTTCATCAGAAATCAACATCCGTCTGGAACCAACAGCTTGACAGGTAGACTACTAGTATGATTTCTTCAATTGAACATTTCCTGGAAAATAGAAATAAAAAATAGACTTCTCAGGGTCAGTGGCATATGGTCTTGAGTATTGCAACGCCCGCCTCAGTAGTGGGGCTTTGGGGAGTGAACACGACCGTGAGCGGGGGAAGGCATCTGATTCAATAATCGTGTGGTGCGTCACGCAACGGCCCTAGACTCGAGTCCAGTTCAAGCAATGATGGTAGAAGACGATATTTTTGTAATTGTCTCTTTGACTGATATCTAACCGGTGTCCAAAACGACCTGCTTGAGGATACCAGGGCATCAGCCCGTTGTGAAGATGCCTAGAGCGAGTCAGTGAAAAAATGAGGAATCAAATGAAAACAAGACTACAGCAGGTCTGACTGGTTCGAGAAACGTACAGTTCAGAAGATACAAGAGGGTGCTTATGTGATAGTGTGTGTGTTGAGAATTTCCAATGTTTACTAAGGCCTGCAATGCGCTGCAGTGAAAAACCTGAACCACTCGCCGACAGCAAGGGCTATACGAACAGACATCAAGCCAACTCAGATCTACTGGTGGGCGGAATGGTGTTCGGAAGAAACCGGGCGGCTTCTGAGAGGTCGGGATGCCCGAACGATTACAGTAATGATTTCGAATCACTCGGCCACGGAGATGGGACTTCAAGTGAGGTCATGAGATGAATCCATGTCCTCCGTGTTCACCCAAAGGTGAAGCTCAGGATTACCCCTTTGCTCTCTGGACAACATCACACCGGGACTTTGAGAATCTGGGCGCCTAGTGCGTAGACACGATCTGGATTGCATTCGAGATACTCGTTGATAGGGAGGACAGTAAGGAGGAAAATAAGAAGTAAGGAGTGGTATGGGATGTCGTAGGGACATTCGAGATCGAGTTGCAGACCAAGATATAAGTATACACAAAGCTCAATCTGGCCACAAATGACGGACACCTGCCAGCGGCAGCACTGTGTCCGAATGTGTCTCGAGCGAGCGCTATATTGCAGCCTAAGCAATGGCGTAAGGAAGAGCACCAAGGCAAAGAATCAAGAACAACGAACCAAGCTGGATTCTTGACGCGCAAAGCAGTGATGGGATTGAACAAAGATACTTGAACGAATCCACATTGCAAATTTTGTTCTCTTGAACGACGTTCAGACACTGGACTCAGAGAGAGACGCTACGTGTCATAAGAATCGGTGGCAAGTCGGATAGGATACGAGTGGCGGATTCGATCGAAATGCGCCTTTGGTCCAGCGACGGGGATGATATCAACGACGAGGAAATCCTGCACGTCGATTAGCACAGGGTCGGAAGTGGATCAAGATCACAACGGCACCCACCTGCACCTTCACAATGCCAGCATCGAACGAGCCCGAATCCCCTCCAGACTTCACCCGCAGATCTCCAGACCAGTCAAGACTTGCACAGTCCGACACTTGGTCGGTGTCCCCAGTACCAGGAGGCAGAGCCACCAGATCAGCGCGGCCGATCACAGACCGGGATTGGAACATCGGCATGGACTTGATCGTCACCAATGTCTGTCGGACGACCGCCACCTCGACAAGCAACCGCTCTTTGCGCGCATCGGCACAGTAGAACTCGCGCAGCGACGCGGCCGGCCCCGCAAGCTGCAGATGGAACGGAATCCGCTCGTCTAGCGCGAAGACGCCCATCGCAGGGACGTACATCTGCAGATTGAGCGGAGCCACGCCGGACTTGGGCCGCGCTGGGACGTGGTGCGTGTGCTGGCGCCATTCGTCCGGCATCGCCTTGAGGTCCTGCAGGAATGAGCCAGGAGCGGACGGGCAGATGGCTGCTCCTGCGCGAGTGCGCGGCCGGTAGTCGAAGCGAATCGCGATATTGTTCTTGGGTGTGCAGAGGAAGAACTTGCGCGCTCGGGCACGGGTGACGGTCACCGAGAGCGTGTAGACGATGGAGGTGTGGAGAGAGGTGTACGACGGCGGAAGCAGTCGCTTGGTGTCGTTGACCATGAATGTAGCAGGCAGAGTGTATGCGAATGCGAGTTGGCTGGGGGGCGAAGACCCAGTGCTCGCCGTCTGCGTAGTCCAGAGATCGACGGAGTGCTCAAGAAAGACGTGTTCGTGTTCGATCGCAGTGGCGTCAGCATCGCCGACCGTCACCTTGCCCTGGATCTAACGAGACGCGTCAGTCGCCGTCCAGGGTCTCTCGATGCGACAGTACGTACCTGGAGAACGACAGCAGTCACCAGCTCCCTGTCTTGCAGTTCAACAAAGCCCGCAACGGTGCCCTCGCGTCCGTACGTCGGAACGGCTGCACCAGGATCTTGCTCGCTCAGAGCGACCGTGGCGCGGGCCGATTTCTTGACGAAGGAACCGGCGGGACGGGCCTTGTGTCGCGGGGACTGGGCCACGAGGCGTTCGTTGTCTCGCAACGCGTAAGAGTAGGATGGGGCGCGTGTGGAGGGCGTGTACGCAGGCGGCGCAACGGATAGAATAGGGGCTGTTTCTGTGCTCATGATGAGGGGCGGGCTGTGTAGAAAAAACGCGGGTGACTCACTTCATGCCACCAGGAAAAGCTGTTTATAAAGTCTCCATGAGCTCACTCCTGACTGCGCCGGGTTTTGGAACACTGCGCGATGACTGCGCCGTAGCGGCTCCGAGACGGTGAGACTTTTTTGACAGGAGGAGAGGGTTTGTAGCCCGGGGCCAATTCAATTATCAATCGATCAATCACCGATCATCAAGGGACCACCTTCAATTCAGCCACTTGCAGGCCCATCATAACACGAGCTTGTGATCCCTTCCCGAGAAACAACATCAGCTCCCCCGCTGGAAGGAAAGCGCAGCTCCGCGTTCACCGTTTTCGCGCCCGACTTGCGGGCAGGAGCGATGCGATGCTATGTTCTACCTCACTTTGCGGGGGATAGTCCCGGCCTCGCAGCGAAGTGCTGCATGTACAGTGCCAAGCACAGATGCACGGTAGTAGAATGGGATGGAGATCGTGTGGTTGTGTGACACAAATAACTTCAGGCAGCATCACCGACAGAGAACGTTACATGCGATGGCGAGCGGCTCACTCCCTCTGAGCGCCGTCGATGAGGGTTTACGCAAAAGGATATTGGTTCGGCGCAGACAGCCCAGATTGAATCGATCCCAGAGCCTGAAAGGCTGTCTCAGCGCGTCGAGTTCGGTTTGTCCACGGTCAATCCATGGACGATAATGCGGGGAGGAATGACGCGCGTTTGAAAACTTCCCGCGGACTGGTCATGACGAGGGAAGTGAAGGGAGAGACGTGAGAAGAAAAGGAGGGAAGGAAAGGAAATACACATGGGCATTATGATCAGCTATCGGAAGTTAGAGGCATCCAAGCTTTACTATATCATGTGCTGTACCACCCGAGTGGCAGCGGAAGGACTACACCCAGGTCGCACAGTTGATTGCTGGGCCAATGGACGAGGTCGAAGGAGAGAGTGAGGCCCAAAGGTCCATCTTGACAGAGTCGAATAACACCTCTCAACCACCCTCCCTCTCATACTGTCATTAGCAGACGTGTCAATCTCTCGCAGTGGATCGGCCCTTTCGAGTATCCCTGCTTTGGGCATGTATCTTGTTCGAAATCTAAGCCAGTCAAATGCGTTGGACCGCTCTCTACTACTTGCAGGAGCCCCTCCGTTCTCTGCGGCCAGCCATTTCCATCGAGTAACCTTCAAACCCTTGCGCCTACAGTATCTCACCTGCCTGGTGGAGGGTCTGCTTCTGTAGAATATCCGCTATCTTGGAACAGCCATGGCATTGCCAAACGTGCCGTGAAACTGGCCTCCATTCGCCAGAGCTTGACCATTGACTACGCAACGTATCGATCGTCTTTGACGCCCATGTGCAGCATGTACATCGAGAGGTATCATGGGCCCAATAGTCTGGCAGTTTCATTGACGCACATTGCGACGAACTCGGTGTACGTGGCAAACGCAAGTTCCTTCACATCCTATATCTGCTAGAAAATGCCGCTTTCCACGAGCGCTCTCATTTGGCATCACAAAGCTTGATGATAAGTGATTCGGAGCCGCGGGACGGAAAATTACTGCTACCTATCGGCGGTTTCAAACCTGCTTATAGCGCGATGCTCTTGCGACGTTGAGCAAACGAAGCAGCATGACATCTCTGGCTGCTCAGCTCACCTCCGACCTCGATAAGCGCAAGCGGGATGGCATATTCTTGTCCCTAGCCACTCCGTATGAGGAATCTCCGAGAAAGAGCATCCAGTACACGTCCAACGACTATCTCTGCTTGGGCATTTGTGATGAGCTCAGGGAACTCTTTCTCCAAAGACTTCACGACTCGCCGCGAATCCTGGGCGTGGGCGGCTCCCGGGTCCTCTCGGACGGAGCGACTCACCAGGCCCTCGAAAGACGCATGGCCACGTTCTTCAATGCGCCCGCGGCGCTGCTGGCAAGCTCCGGCTTCGACGCAAACCTCGCGTTTTTCCGACACATCCCGAGGCGGGGGGATGTGATTGTCCACGACGAATACATCCACGCATCGATCTACGACGGGATGCACTCCGGGAAGGCCCACCTGATTCCCTTCGAGCACAACAGCCTCTCGGCCTTTGCGCTGGCGGTGAAGCGTGCACGCCGGGAGTATCCTGGGCTGGACAAAGGTTCCACGAGTCTCTTTCTGGCTGTCGAGTCGGTGTACAGCATGGATGGCTCGATCGCGCCGCTCAGATCGATGTCGGATTATCTGCAGGAGCACTTTCCTCTGCAGAACGCGCATCTCGTCGTGGACGAGGCACATGCTACTGGAATATACGGTACCCATGGGAAAGGGATTGTCTCGATGTTCGGTCTGGAAGATAAGTGCTTGGCCCGGCTGCACACCTTTGGGAAGGCTCTGACCTCGAACGGGGGTAAGTTATTCACTCTGAACCCGATGGTCATACGCTCACATTCTTGTCTTCTATCAGCGGTCATCCTCACCACCCCATTGATCAAAGATTATCTCTTCAACTATGGACGTGCGTTGTTCTTCACCACAGGTCCCAGCTACACTGCCGCGATTTCAATCCAAAGCGCATTGGATATGTTGGAGAGCCCACTCAGAGACAGACTCGCCGAACAACTTCTCGACACCTGCACATATTGCGTCCATCTCATTAAAGAATATTTGACCAGAACACCCACAAAGCTCGTCGGCCTTCCCGCTCACCTCGACTCGCCCATTTCCACGTCGATTGACACAATCCCGAGCACCACACTCCCGACGGCGATCATTCCGTTACTGACCCCAGATCCGTTTGCGCTTTCAGAGTTCTTGGCCAAACACAACATTTTGACCGCGGCCGCCGTCTACCCGCTCGTGCCGCGCGGCAAACAACGAGTCCGCATCTCTTTGAACGCGGATAAGACTCGACTAGACATCGATAGACTGATAGGGCTGGTGTTCGAATGGGCTGCGAGTTACAGCGCGGGTCCAGACGAGGGGAAAATTAAACCGCGCCTTTGAGAAGTCACGTCGCATCGGATGGTAGCCGATTTTAGATAATCACAAAGATAAAGTCACGGGGGCGCGTTTAGAATCACATGTCATGCTTTCAATCAGCTCACGTCCCACACAAGAAACCCGCAGGCCACCATGCTCCGTAGCCTCTCCATCCCAGTGTGGCTTATGTGGCCTGCGACCTGCAGCTCCACCCGTCGAATGACCGGAAATGGATCGCCCTTCTTTTGTTTCCGGAGCCCTTCGACCATGTCAGCCACCTGCCCCCCATCCAGCTCAGCGAAGGCTTCAACGATCCTGAGCGTTTCCAGCCGCGCAAGCGCAAGAGGCAAGCTCTGCGATGTCTCGGTCTTCGACGGCGGGGGGTATGTAAAAGCAGCGAGGAGGCCGCGGCGGAGCGAATGACACGAGTCGAGTGTCAGCGAACGAAGCAACGACAGACAGTTCAGGGCTGCGACGACGTCCTCTTTCGACGCGGCGATATCCCTCAGCACCAGCCGCTCCAGCGCAAAACGCGAGCGGGCCTGGAGATCTCGGAGAACGGGGAACAGCCAGGGTGCATTCTCTATCGCGAGGCTTTTGAGAGAGGGGAGAGTAAATGACCGTAGGAAGATGCTCGTCGCCGCCCCGGGAAGTAAGAACTGGAGAGAGCACAGGGAGGGAAGCGTCACGCCGGGGTTCGGCGTCCGCTCCTTTTCGTCTGTCGCGACACCAAGGAGGCCCTTCAAGCGGCAGTGCTGCAGTGACGAGCACTGGGCGACGACATTACGGGCGGTGAGCACAGGGAGCGGGAGGTGCAAGTCAAGATAGGTCAGCTGAGACCAGGGGAAAGAGACGTCAAGAATGTCGCCAACAACCTTGGGCGACTCGAGGCGGAGAGATGTTAGGCGTGGAGAGCGTCGGAACTGGCCCAGCAGCGGAAGAGATAGGGGGTTGCTCTCGTGGAGGATGATGAGGGTGACAGACGCGAGCAAGGGTAGCGTTGTCCGACAACTGGCAGGCAGGGCGTGAATTCCAGTCGTCTCCAGTCGCAGGTGCTGCAGCCGGGTATGCGCATCCCAGAACCATTCCATGTCCACGCTGTCTCGACCGTATATAGCTACGTCGACAGGAAGCATCTGTGAGAACTGGAAAATCGTCCGCAGATCGCCTTCGTCAAACTTCCTCGCCAGACCGGGGGTCGTGTGCAGCACCACAGTGGACCAGAGGCTCGGCGTCGCATGGAGGACTTCCCTCCAGCGCGAGCACACCTGCCCCAAAAGCATGGGTGCGCTGCGGGCGTTGAGGATGGACCGTCCCGTCTTCGGAGTCGCAGCCGCACATAGCATGAACACATGCGCCAGAAGCTCTGGCGGAAGGCGGCGAATCGGGGAGAGAGCAGTCTGGAGCTCGGCCACAGCGTCAAGATGGGCCTGCCGCTGCGACTGGACCTCGGACAGCAGCGTCGCAAGCAAGACGAGGGTGTCATCCAGCCTCGAGACTTCGGCCCTCAGCGCGTCCAGTCTAGCCTGTGCCCCCTCGGGCGGCGTATCAGACTCGGCTGGTCGCATCGGCGATAGAGAAGGGTGAGAGAGAGAAGATCGATAGCGTGTGCAAAAAGTGAGACACGTCGATGGATGGTGACAGTCAAAGTGTAGGGATCGCGAGGAGGAGGAGGGGGAGGAGGCTGCAAGGCCGCAAGGCTGGCTCGGGAACGTGCACGCTGGCGCTGCCAGGCGCTGGGCCACGCGGCGCCCCACGTGTCGCGCTTAGGCTCACGATGCTGATGGAAGCCCAAATGGGATGTGCGCGTGGTGTTGGACGAACGAAAAAAACTGCGTTGAGGCTGAGTTGGCCACAGATGCGAGACAAACAGTCATCAAAGGCGGGGTCAAGGATGGAAGGGATGGACACTAGTAAGCGCTCAGCCAACGGAACAAGGGCACGCCAGCTACACGCGCATCAAACCCGCATCAATGACATGGCCACAGATCAGACCAGGTAAGGTTGGGGTTGGAGAGTGGCCCTCCTCAAACCAGGGTGTCCAGCCAGTTGTTTTGGGCGAGACTCTTTCAGATTCCGATCGACTGATTCACAGTTGTAATTTCCATCTCCTCTCTTAGCACTGATCAGAAGCCAACGCGTGGGAACACGCATGTCTATTCGCTGACGCTGAATCGGATATCCTCTTCGCCACCTCATGGACAATCAACCCTCTTCTTGAGAAGTGATTCGCCAGCCACGATACGTGCAGAAGACGGAAAGAGGATCGAGTAAGTGCGTACACGCGTCTTTCATGTCTGATCGTCCCCCGAAGAAGCGTGAGGCTCGAGGATGCTCAGGGAAAGAAGCGTCGGCGAAATCGTCTGACGCAGGCAATGACCAATCTGGATGTAATGCCTTGGCCGTCGTTATCCCCCTCGACACTTGAAACTTGTCATCCAAAAGCGGGGGCCCAATCCATATCACTGCACCGCCATTGCTGAATCCGAGGCTCTACGCGTTTAGATTGGCCCGCTGTAAGCCCAGAATCGACGACAAGCACCTCATTGATTCATTCCTCGCACTAGCTCATGGCACCACCACCCTGGAGATCCGAGAGGAACGCCTTCCGCTGGTGCCACATGCGGAAACTAATACAGCCCTCTCGGAAGTGAGGACGACATCTGCTGTATCAGAAAGACGGGTACGTGGGAGGAGTGCCTTCTGGCGCGGTGATGTCTGCCGGACTGCCTGCATGTATGTACAAACTAGGGCCCGTGAGGTACGACAGCGCTACCGTGTGCCTCAGGTGTCTTCTCCATCGAAGCGGCAGGGCGAGTTTCCAGATTGCGCATCAGCGGTTCTCTTCCTCTTCATAGCAGCTCTCTTGTCTTGTCTTGTCAAGCCCGGTGACGCTATCTTGTCTCGCACGATCACCAGCCCTTGTGAACGCCGTTCATTGGATCCATGCGGAGACTGAGCGCTGCAGATTGGCCGCGTCGCACGTTTCCTGCCCCACCTCTGGCTGCCTGATTTCCATGGAAAGGAACTCGCAAGTCCGGCGAGGTTGATCAAGATCGCGGGTGCGAACAAGCTTGCTGCTGGCTCGTCATGCCCCTGATCGGACCTCGCAGCAGCGCACTTGGTGGTGATGGCTTACTAGCAGCTGCATTATCGCTTTCGGACCCATCTCAGCCAGCGTCACCCCGCCTGGCTCCTGGAGCGTGAGCATCCTCGCGGAGCTCCTCAGTGTCGAAGAAGTCCGCTTTGAGTTCGTTCTCCTCCACGTCTCGTCTTCTGTCGGTTCTTTCGTGGCCGATGCCCTCCCCTCTCTTCTCATTGCGAATGGGGACTTCTCACTGCCTCTCTCCAACTTTGCGCTAGCCATCTTGGAATTCCTGCGCACCTTTTTGGTTTCATTCCACTTTTACATACCCCGTCTCGCCCTCTAGGCTTGTGGTAACTCATGCCTCATTCCCCTCGGGATCGCACGCCAGATTAAAGGATGATGCCCACTACTGCGTCGAGCCGGCGTAATATGGGGATTCCGAGGGTGCTTTGGTCTCTGGCGCGACGTATCTCGGTGTGTTTTCGGTCCGTTTGGGACCCCACCTACGGCTGTTTTCTGGGACGCCCTGCTAGTTTTTTGACTTCATCATTCCTGTTTTACATACCCCGACGTTCTCTAGGCTTGTGGTAGCTCGTCCCCCTCGGATTCGGAGGTCAGATTAACTGATACTTGATACTACTCCGAGCCGGCACGATGTGACATTCCGAGGCGCTCTGGGTTCTCACTCTGACGCGAGGTTTCTCGGTGTGTTTTCGGTTGAAGAACTACAAATTCATAATTTTCGTCCAGTGTGTTTGGGTTAGAACTCCTCGGGGGGACTTGGAAGCTGGCTACCGATGGTCCGGTAGCCGCTATCGATTCTCCGCATGCGGCCGCCACTCCCCAGCTGCCGGTGACGATACGCGGCAGTGTGCCTAGGCTCCATCGCCAGCAACTCTCCTTCTCGTTCGGTGAAACACTGGCTTACCATGTTTTCCATTCCCCAATGGCCCCCAGTTCTTCCCGGAATGTAGAGTTTAATTTCAGAGCTAGCGACGCGCTCCTTGCTTAGCATTCTTACTCTATGTATCCGGAAGTTCCTCGAACGAGGGACCGTTTGCTCATTTCCTCCCCCCCTCAAGTGTTAAATGACATAGGGATACTTCGAGGTTCTTCGTCTTCTTCGTTTACGCTAAGTCGCGCCCAATTTGCTTTCCCCTTTTCCGCCCACATCAGGCCGCGGAGAGAGCACCAGGCACGGCGAAATAGTTTCGAGCCCGGTGGTGGGTGGGCGGAGACGAAATGTCCGGTGTGAGGAGTGGTTCCTCGATGCAAGTAAGTTATGTGGCTGGGGTGGCCCGGGTATCCGTAATTGACCTGCCCGGATCCGACGGGTTAGCACTCCGAGTGGGGGCTGGGCTGGGCTTCCTGAGAGCTGGCATACTGTCTGCTCTTCTTTTCGTAGAACCCCAGCGCGATTGTTGCTTCATCCAGCTTAGAACACAAGTGGACGACAGTTTATCATTGCTTACGGCATTTTTCACTTGTGCTTTGGTGTCCGAATTCGAATGCAGGTCCAGTATTCGGGTGGCCGTCTGAGAAGCTGTCTTTTCGAGTTTCGTCATCCCTGAGTGATAAGACTGACACAGCGCCCGACAAATTGCTGGATACTCACCGTCAAACACTCGAGTTTAGCTTGACAGGGGATGCCAATTAGGCGTATCACATCAACGATGATCGCCTTGAACACCGGAGCGCGTCGGGAGCGCTTCTTCTGCTCTTTTCTCACTGCAACGACGCTTCTCTCACTCTTCCATGTCCTGCCAAAATAGACACACATGCTGTTGGCACGTCGTAAGGATCTATGTCGCACATGCCAGGGTCTGGGCCACTCCAGCTGCGTGCTGATGGCTGATGAAACTCGCCGTGAAAATTCTCCTGTTCTCAAAGTGGCATAGCTTGGCTTCCTATCTAAGCTCAGAGTTGCCACCCGCCGCCGATTTCAGGAGAATCACGAAGACCGGAAGTGTGCCGCTGAGGTGGTGCGGTGTGAAGGAGAAACGCTCCAAAGGAAGCACCGGCACTCGAAGCCAATGAAATGAAATCAGCCCCCTCGTGAAAAGACAATGCAGCGCGTCGCGGGAATCAATAAGGCTGATTCGATGCCACAGACAGTTGGTTCATCCATCAGGCACTCTGTCTTGTGTCCTGTGTCCTGCGTCTTGTCCAGCACCCCGCAGCGTTCGATCCATGGCCGAAATATAAATGATAAGATTGAGGGTTTCCCGACGGTGACAGGGGGGTGGACGAGAAACGTATTTTAACGCTAACAAGGGGATGATCCGGACGGTCTCTTCCTTTGAATTGACTGGTGACATGCCTGGTACGAGTCCGAGCACACACACAGATCCCACTGGCCGAAAGTGAAACCGGAGGGTGTGCGTCCGAACAGTCGCCACAGAGACTCAATAGACAATGGAAACGAAGAAAAGCTTGATCCGACACGAGCGCTACGAGAGAATTTCGTTCCCTGGTGGTAGTCAAGAACTGAAGAACATCCGCCTCCCGATGCGGTAATCTCCGTGGAAAATTGAAACTCCGACGGTGATGAGAACATAAGCTTTTTTCTCTCCGTCGCCATCGTCAATAAAATAACGACATGACAACTCTCAATGTACGACAATTGCACGCCGCAACATGTCTATCTGGGTTTATGTGTGTCAGCCGCGCAGGTTTGTCGCGATAGGCTGCGCACATCGCCGTCGAGTTCTAGCTGGGAAAACAGCACAGAGAGGGGTTAGGCCCCCGCCGCGAAACTAGAGTGTGGAATCTGTCCATCTATCTGGTGTTGCTCGTTGTTCGGGTAACGGATGGTGCGACTCTCCACCTGCAAGCAAGTCCCGCGCTGGTCTTGTCCTCGGAACAAGTCTTCCCCCAAGTGGCTCAGCGCGCTCATTTACCTAATGGAACCCGTGTGGGGCGACGCGGCCAGAGAAGGGGACGGCGACTGGACCAGCGTGGCCAAGGCTGGCTGGCCGGGCGTCTGTCTGTCTGTCCGTGGACCCGGGCGAGTGCTGTGCGTGCAAGAGAGAGATGAAGGAGGAGGAGGAGGAGACTCTGACACTCCGACTTGAGTGGCCTATGCTACAGCTTGCTTCCATCCGCGCTTCGATTACAAATTAACCCCGTCCGCCACAAGGAACTTTGGATGGAACACACAACGGAAACGGGCCAATGCCAGATCCACAGAATCACAGATCTGATACGACCAAGAACTTGAATTTTCCGTTTCGGGATTTCCTATTCCTATTCCTGTTTCGTCACCCGACTGTGAATAATTCATTTTACTCACCTACTTATATGTTCTGTAGACTTTCGACTCACCCGTCACTCGCCGGCTTCTGCTAAAAGCCGCATACATACCCACCACACTTGCTTTCGTTCCCTTCAGCCCTCCTCCCTGCGATGTCCACTGCTGCCACTGCCGCTGTCGCCGCCGCAGAGCCTACAGGGTGTGTGTACACATGGTTCCGTGCCCTCACTATCACTGACGACGCGTTGCAGCGCCACTTCGCCCGCACCTCGACCGCTCACGTATGTCTTGCTTTTTCTTGCCATCCCAATTGTTTTCCAGAAAACATTTCTGACTTCCTTCTTCTCCTCTGCAGCTCTCCGCAGCTCCTGCCGACCTGTGTCCCACGAGCGGTGTCGGATCCCGTCTCCGCGACTTCCTCACCTGCGGTTCCGAATACAGTCACGGCAGTGTCACCGCCAGCCCTTGCTCCACCATCACCGTCGGCCGCACAGGATCGGCCGAATCTGAAGCGCAAGACCCCGCCTTCAGTCTCCCCTGGGCTCGACGCAGATGCCGACGCCGACGCCGAGGCAGAGGACGACGACGAAGAAGAAGACCGAAAACCACTCATCCTGGCCCCCGGCTCGCCTGTGCCCTCCTCGCGCCGTGAATGCAGCAGCGTGATCTGCAAGGCGTGCGGGGTGGTCGTGCGCATCGGTGAGATGTGGGACACGCATCGTGGTACATGGTACGTGGACTAGCTTTTCCCCCGCGACGATGCCAGATTGGCTCATACGCTTTGCACTATGTAGCGCCGGTACCGCACGGCCTGCCCACTCGCACACGCACTCACACTCAAACCCACATGCTCACCCGCAACCGTACCCCCAACTCCACCAGCAGCAACACCGCCACCATCATCCAGCGCAGTATGCGCCGCCCCCGCCGCCCCCGCTGCCAGCGGTCGAGACGACGTCCTACACGTCGATCCTCAGCGGCCTCCCTCCCGCGAAGCGCCGGCGTGCCAAACGCACGGAAGACGAGCGCATCGCTTACCTGCGCGCCGACACTCATGTCGCGCAATTCGAGGCGTACCGCGTGCTGTGCGCGAGCTGCGACAAATGGATCCGGCTTCGACCGAACTCGACATACTGCTCGATCCCGTGGGACGCGCACCGGAAGAGCTGTCTCGCGAAGAAGAGGTGCGTGCGTCAGAGGTCCTTTTTTGCGTGCCTGTTTCTATTACTTTTTCTTTATTTTCGGCTGGGCTCGGAAGCCGCTGCCTGCGTTTTGCATTTGTCGTGCATTTATTATGTATGATGTACGGAACGCCACCTGGAGCAGCAGCAGCTTGTCTGGCAGCAGGAGCGCGGTGACGTGTTGACTGGCTTCTCGGGGCGGGAGTCCCCGCCTTCTTCGAGTTCTTTTCTGCTTACCTTCTCTTCAAAATGGGGTGGACCTCCCTTGCTGCTCTCACCTCTTCTCGTTGCTCCCGCTTGCTCGATGCTGACTTCTCCTGCCAGCCACGCGAAGAACGCACATGCATACGCTCTCGACGAGCGGAATGCGGCATTCGCCAAGGATCCCGATGTGCGCAAGTTCGATGCTGAGCGGCTGCTATGTGGAGTATGTGATAAGTGCGTATACGCGTTTCCTTTCCTTCCCAATTTGTAGCCCTTTCTTGTGGGGCTTGTGGTTCGGCCCTTCATTTCTGCCTTCATCCGGCCTGTCGCCTTCTCTCATCTTGCTCCGGGCACTGATATGTCACTCATCTTTTTGATTTCACTCTCTTCCCCATTCTCCTTCGCCGCTGACACGTTGCTCCAGGTGGATCGCTCTCCCCGTCGACGACCATCTCGGCGCCGTGCAGATGTGGGTACAACATCGCGACGGATGCCGCAAGAGCGTTGGCGCCGGGATGCGGGGTGTTGGCGTCATGTGAGTGCCTACTCTTTCGTTTCCCTGCATAGTATATAGCCATCCCTTTCCGCTCCTTGTTTAATGCTGCCCGTTGGCTCGGTGTCGCACTACCTGCCCCAGCCCGCTTCCCTCCGACGCCGGGTGCGAATAGCAATGGGCTGTCTTGCTCTGTTTCGCGATCGTAAATAAATGCTCGTGGACTGACTAGAAACTCTCAGGACCTCGAACGTCAGAGGTATGGTCGACCGCGACGGTGCCGACGACGAATGCAAGCCACCTCAGTCACCACCATCTGCCGCAGCCCGCAGCCGCACGCCACCGGCCTCATCAACATCGTCTCGCAAACACCCGTACTCACCGCCCCCTCCGCCGCCGGCGCCCGCCTCGTTCCCCGCCCCGTTGCATCTCCCGCTGCCTGATGCACCTCATGTAGTGCTGGACTTGTCCCCCGCGAACTACGCCGCTCCGCACGAGTCCCGGCGGCGGAATGCGGAGCAGCGCGCTGCGACCCTGCGTGCAGACGTTCTGATCAGGGAGGTGGAGCCGAACCGGGTCTTCTGCTCGCTATGCACCAAGTGGGTGCAGTTGCGTCAAGACAGCAGTTACTGTGCGTATCCGTGGCTGCAGCACCGCGGCAAGTGTCTTGCGCGATAGTGCGTATCCGTCTCCCCATCCTTACCCACAATATGCATGGTAACCATTCCACAGCCAACGACGGGCACAGAAAGCTGGCACGGAGGGTGCTAAATCTAACGGTGGTGCGAGCAAAACCCGCTATTCGGAGGAAGAGAAGGAAGAATGCGCCTCTGAGTTGGATGATGCGGCTCGCCACGCCCATCGTCGACGCGGTCCGGCCCCACTGCCAGCCCACCCGCCACGCCATTTGCCACCCGGCTACATCTCGGCTCCAGCCCGCGAGTCTGGTGCCCAGGACGGAGACGCCGATGCCGACGCAGAGGGCGAGGACGTCGATGCGGACGGGGACTCATACATGGAGGATGAATCGGCGTCGGCGGTCGCTCCTGGTCGTGCATACACGGCACCACAGCAGATACGACGTCCGCCGGTTCGGGCTTCGCTGGCGGACCTGGACTCTCCAGCAGGACGGTGCGTTCTTCTAGTTTTTCGCTTGCTGTCTCACGCTGCATACTCATGGTGCGGCAGGCGGCAATTTATCTCTATTTCTATCGAGTATCTGTTCCACACTACACACGAAGCCAGCGATGACCTCAGTATTTCGGCGCTCCTCGGCTACCTTAACGCGGCTATGCCCATCGATAAGCACGAGGACTTTGATTTCACCGAAGTAACCCGGGTCGCTACTGCGTTCGTCGCTCGGGAGGGACGGTTTGTGCTCGAAGGCGACCGGCTAAGGATCCGGGAATGATTGTTTCTTGTACTTGCTATCTCACTTTCGAGGACTACTTATCTGATTGCATCTCACTTTTGTACCTCACTACTCACATCGTGCTACTTGCTTTCCATCTGTATGTACGCATCATCTCAATAACCGACACCATCTTGACGCACATCACACAATACCAGTCTATGTGCTTTGATATTGAAGCGGTTTGCGTGAAATGTGCAGCTCATTGAAATAACGGTCCTTCATCGCTGAATCAAGACAGTAAAGAAAAGCAAGAAAATCGTGACAAAATTACTTGACCCCTACCCGATTTGAACGGATGACCTTGTGGAAACAGGTACTGGAATCACACACTCTACCAGCTGAGCTAAGGGGTCCTTGCACAATTTCCGCCGGATAGCATTGTATACACCGAGCGTCCATGATGATGTAAGCGAAGGCCTTAATATCCTTTGTGATCCCTCAAATAACTCGAATCTCGCACTGAGAATGCCATCTGACTTTACTGGTCCTAGCTCGTGAGCATTGACCAATGTAGATAATGTCTATCCTAATCCAGTCAAAGATGACAAAGGATGAGCTCGGCACTTATCGTATCGGTCTGGCAAATCTGTCTCTGAGCAGCGCTGTGTGAGAAACTGCGAAAATTTCTGGAGGGAATATGAGCGCATTCGAAATTACTGAGCTTGATGTTCCCGTCATTGCAATTTGTGTCCATCTTCCCACGCATTTCTCATGATGAGCAAGATTCCCCCGAGCCGAGCGCATGCTCAATCTGCGTCATTCAGACTCACTCAACGGAAGCACTTGCAGGCAGGTGATATACACAATCACATCGAGTCAAGTGCCGGCACCCAATCAGATCACCGATCACACTGCAAACTCGGACCTGGCAGCCTTCATCTACTTACTCACTCAAGCGCGCAGTCGAAAGGGCCGGCTGCGAAGACATCGGAGACTCGCAACGTGTAGTTTATAAAGGCCTTCCTGACCTGCTTGTGAGTCATCCATCTTCCCCCGTCGCATCTGCCCCGCTCAGCGACATGACCACAGTACCTAGCGCCTCATCAACGGTCCTTCTGCCCCCATACACTCCGTCGACCCCTGCTCCATCTTATTCGTACACGCCTCGTGAGGATGAATGTCTCGTTGCGCAGTCTGGGCGTCACAAGCCGCATCCGGACACCGGCACCTACCTGAAGCGGTCTGGTCGCGATACTATCGTTCTGACGGGGCAGGACGCAAGCGCAGCCATCCCCACATATCGTAGGCGGGGTCTCATCGCAGGGTTTCTCGATCTGGCTGCCCGAGAGACAATAACCGATCTTGCATTGAAGGTGCGCCCCTGCAGGATACAAACGGCATGTTCTCTGTCATGCTCACGTACCCTCTAGATCCGCGGCAAAGTCTCGCTGCATATACCGGACATGGTTCCCACCGAATTCACGTTCTTGGACGAGTCGATCGGGCTTTGGTCAATGTCCGAAGAGTGTTCCCCACCCAGCCAGCTGCCCTTCGCATACACTCTCCCAGCGTCATTCAAAGCGGGCTCCCTCGATCGTCCGCTGCCACCATCATATTCTTCACCCCAATCGTCAATCGCATACACTCTGCAGGTGACCATCACCCGTCGGCGGACGCGCAAGTTCTTTGGCTCGCCCAAGAACACGGTGTGCATTCCTTTTGGGTACCGACCACGCACTCGGCCGGGACACTCCACCCAATCATTTGTCGCAGGTTTCCTCCAAGACGTCAAGACCATGCCAGAAGAGTGGCGCGAACACGCACACCGTGTCACAGGCAAGGCCAAGGGGGACGTGAAGCCGCTGGACTTGCAACTTTATATCCCCTCCAGTGGTGTCTTTGCACTGGATGAATCGATCCCCTTCCATGTCCAGCTGACTGGTGCCGTTTCTTCCCTCCAAGAGGTCTACCGCGCGGATGTGCAGAAAGGGCAGCGTCTCGTGGAGGTCAAGATTGTGCGGCAGACGCTCGTCACAATAAACGGCATGCGGACTGCCGTGCTGCAATCGGTCATTGGTAGAGCTGACCTGGTCTCGCTCCCACCCGGTGCTGGTGCAGAGGACAATGAGGTGGACGGTTCCGCCAGTCTCGACTGGTCTGGTGACCTGCGCGTGAATGGAGATGTGGAGGTCGCCTCTTTCGATGCGGGGATTGTGAGGATGCAGGTGGGTGTGCCACTGCCTATTGAGTCCGTCTCACATCGCATGATACTGAATCAATTGCAGGACTTCATCGTGGTGGAGCTCGGCCCCAGCGCGAACTTCGAGCGCGTTCGGCATTCTCATTCGATACGCTTGGTGACAGATGCTTGGGACACATAAGCTCGCGTCGGCCGATCGACCTGGCATTCCGGAGATTCCTCCAAGACCGATGCCACCAAAATACAACTCTTCTCGGTTCCAACTTCCGGGCGGGTTCCAATCCACACTGCGCTGACAGAATGGTCTTTGTGATGATCTCCTCTTGATAGAAGACGCTGCTTCAGTGTGTGTCTTAGAACCGTTGGGCATCGATCGTCAGCGTACTCATGTCCGAACCGTTTGATCTATACTTCGATACTGTTTCAGGCGATGTCCCCTGAGCTGCTGCTCATAGCAAAGTAGACGTTACGTATATTTTTCAAGGAATGCGACCATCCTGATTGACCGTATGCGTCGGTCTCAGCTTTCTGTCTGCTCGCTTCTCATGTGAGAGTTGCGCTGTGTCCATCGCAATAAGTTTCGAACTTTGCAATCTTCCACTTTTTGATTTAGCTCTAAGCAGGGGAAGGTCACTTTTCGTCCGTGTTGCATAGTCCAAAGCAACATGCATTGCGAGGAGCGCCGGCGAGCTGTTTTGACTGGTTCGTCCGGCAATTCGAGACGTGAGTTCTCGCGAGGTGCACGTTTGAGACGCTGTGTTTCTTGAGATCTCAAGTCTACCTGGAGTGAATCCTCGGCTTTACGCTCGGATGAAATGTCATATCCACTGGCTTTCGGTAAAGGTGACTTGAAGGAAGCAGATTCAGCCAGAACCTTGCGGTTGAGGTTTGTTTGTTCATTGGCGTTGCTCTGGCCGACAGCTGAATGAGCAATTCCCAAAACGAACAGGAGGTCGAATGCATGATCGCCGATCAGGGAGTCGGCAGGATCCGAAATCGTCTGATTGTGAAATTTGAAAAAGTGCCACCACCACCGCCGTTTCGGAGCAGCTCTCGGAGCCGCGCTACGGCGCAGTCATCGCGCAGTATTCCAAAACCCGGCGCAGTCAGGAGTGAGCTCATGGAGACTTTATAAACAGCTTTTCCTGGTGGCATGAAGTGAGTCACCCGCGTTTTTTCTACACAGCCCGCCCCTCATCATGAGCACAGAAACAGCCCCTATTCTATCCGTTGCGCCGCCTGCGTACACGCCCTCCACACGCGCCCCATCCTACTCTTACGCGTTGCGAGACAACGAACGCCTCGTGGCCCAGTCCCCGCGACACAAGGCCCGTCCCGCCGGTTCCTTCGTCAAGAAATCGGCCCGCGACACGGTCGCTCTGAGCGAGCAAGATCCTAGTGCAGCCGTTCCGACGTACGGACGCGAGGGCACCGTTGCGGGCTTTGTTGAACTGCAAGACAGGGAGCTGGTGACTGCTGTCGTTCTACAGGTACGTTCTGTCGCGTCGAGAGACCCCTGGACGGCGACTGACGCGTCTCGTTAGATCAAGGGCAAGGTGACGGTCGGCGATGCTGACGCCACTGCGATCGAACACGAATACGTCTTTCTGGAGCACTCCGTCGACCTGTGGACTGCAAGCACTGGGTCTTCGCCTCCCAGCCAACTCCCATTCGCATACACTCTGCCCGCTACATTCATGGTCAACGACACCAAGCGACTGCTCCCTCCGTCGTACACCACTCCGCACACCTCCATCGTCTACACGCTCTCGGTGACCGTCACCCGTGCCCGAGCGCGCAAGTTCTTCCTCTGCACACCCAAGAACAATATCGCGATTCGCTTCGACTACCGGCCGCGCACTCGCGCAGGAGCAGCCATCTGCCCATCCGCTCCTGGCTCATTCCTGCAGGACCTCAAGGCGATGCCGGACGAATGGCGCCAGCACACGCACCACGTCCCAGCGCGGCCCAAGTCCGGCGTGGCTCCGCTCAATCTGCAGATGTACGTCCCTGCGATGGGCGTCTTCGCGCTAGACGAGCGGATTCCGTTCCATCTGCAGCTTGCGGGGCCGGCCGCGTCGCTGCGCGAGTTCTACTGTGCCGACGCGCGCAAAGAGCGGTTGCTTGTCGAGGTGACGGTCGTCCGACAGACATTGGTGACGATCAAGTCCATGCCGATGTTCCAATCCCGGTCTGTGATCGGCCGCGCTGATCTGATGACTCTGCCTCCTGGTGCTTGTGACACCGACCGGGTGTCGGACTGTGCAAGTCTTGACTGGTCTGGCGATCTGCGGGTGAAGTCAGGAGGGCATTCGGGCTCGTTCGATGCTGGCATTGTGAAGGTGCAGGTGGGTACCGTCGTGATCTTGATCCTCTTCCGAGCAACTGCTAATGGATGTGCAGGATTTCCTGGTCGTTGATATCATCCCCGTCGCTGGACCAAAGGCGCATTTCGATCGAATCCGCCACTCGTATCCCATCCGACTCGCCACCAATCCATAAGACACGTAGGATCGTTCTCCGCCACCACTTCTCAGATCTCGTGCAAGAAAGGAAAACTTGAATTGTCCATTCGCGCAAGTACTTTGCCCGATCGAATTACTACCATGCGCGTCGAGCCATGCGCGTCGAGAACACAGCTTGGTCCGTTTTCCCTCGTTCTTTGTCCTGTTCCTCTTCTGACACCATCGCTCAGGCCGCAATGTAGCGCTCACCCGAGACGCATTCGGAAACAGTGCTGCCGCTGGCAGGTGTCCGTCATTTGTGGCCAGATTGAGTTTTGTGTATAATTAGATGCTGGTCTGCAGTCTCCATTTGGAACAGCCTTACGACATCCTATATCACTGCTCACTCTCATTACTATTAATGTTTATCTTACACTGGAAGCGGCCCAGATTATTTCGATTTCTATTCTTCCCTACCCGAGGATTTGATCTAGCTGGATGCCTGATGCTCGAATCCACCTCTCGGCGACTGGCTCAGGCTTTTTCACTATAGCGCACTGCAGGCCTCAAAACACATCGGAAGATTTCCACGCAGGCTTTTCACCTATTCGTATCTTCCCAGATATACGTTTTTCGACTCAGACAGACCTTCCGTAGTCGCAATTTCGCTGCATCCCTCATTTGTCGAAGGACCCGCCGGGCCGCTCTAGGCCGCTCAGCAACGGGCTGATTTCCCGGTATCCCCAATCCAAGCGCTTTGCACCCTGGTTGAATGTCAGTCAAGAAGCCAGAAATACAAAATCATCATGTTCGACCGTCCTTGCAGGGATGGCATTGGAGTCTAGCGCCGTTGCGTGAAGTATCACAGGATTTCTGATTCCACCACGAATGTCGAAAATGGTCCATCGGACGCACTGGGGCAACCATGAAATTACCCCAGAAGACGTTTACTTGAATTCTCGAAGGCGGGGTCAGTGTCAAGGTTGCGGATGTGAGAGCCATTCTTGCACATGTGGGGACTCGGCACTACTGCTCAGTTCCCTGTCGCTCTCACTCTCGCCCTCGTGCAGCCATTATGCCAGACACTCGCACCGAGTGGGCCCTGTGTTGAATTTAACTATGCGATTGCTCCGAAGATTGTCCAGTCGGTTTCCGTCCACAACGTCAGCGGCCAAGTAGTGGGAGCGAGCGGCCTCGTTGTTCCGAGTCGCAGGGAAAGTTCCAGAGCAGGGGTTCTTATGTCGTTCTCAACTGCGGTAAATAGGTGAGCTTAGTAGATGAGAGGACTGCTTGCATTGATTTACGATTGTATGTCATAGGTTGGAGGCATTTTGTCTCCGAACATCAACAACGCGGCCCAGAACTCGCCGCTCTCCTTTATCATTCACTGAATCAGCCGAATTCAAGTCTGACGACTCGTGCTTGCCCTCCCTCCAAGAAAACTGCGACGGGGTTAAATCATCCCGGGCTCTGCTGTCCGTAGACCTGCTTGCGAAGACTGTCGCACAGCAGAAAGGTTAGTTCCTTTTCTTGACCATCGTGACCGACAGCGTAGATCCTCTGACCATCTCGAATATCTCCTTTGCCCTTACGTTCCTGCCCCACTGTGAAGATCTCAGAGCACACCCGGGCCACTTCTTCGCACCTGACCCAAGGTTTTACGAAATCAACTTCCTGACGTACATTTTGCCAACCCCAAAGCTAACAACAGCACCATTACTAAACAATTTTTATCCAACACCCTCCTATCTTCGGCTTACCGTTTCACCCTATCTCCACCGAAATTTTCCAATACAGCGGCTAACATTCGACCGCAATATCCGAGCTACTTGCATCGTCAGCTTCTCGGACAATAGCTTCGGCCTTGCCATTGACCACTAAGCCACTTCGGTCGCTCACTAATGACAGAAGTCAGCAGGCTGCCACCAAGCGGACCCGAGCTAACAGCTTTGCAAGTGGGATCTTGCCTGGAAAGTCTTGAAAGTGAGAATAATCATGTATTATACTCACTAGTCCCTAGTTTTCAACTTTTCGACTGGACAATATCTGTATCGGTACGACTGATTTCTGTTAGCACTCCTATTTGCTTTTTCAATGCCATCGTTGGATTGAATTTCTATAGCCCTCGCGCCGTCTGCGGCTTCTTCCCTGAGTCATCAGGAATTACCGATTAATCATCTCCGGCAGGATCCCGAAGCGTCTGAAACCAGCTGGTGTGTGTGGGCCCAGCGTTCGCGTCCGATGAGATGCCGTGCATCAATAGTACCCCCGCCTGGAGAGTACTGGCGATTCAATCCATGAAAATTTTCGTGAAGCAGACATGGCGACTACAGAATCAATCCGATTCGAGTGTCGGAGTCTGGAGACGAGTTCCATCAGCGATCACATTGCCGAATGAATCGCCCCCATCAACGGACCGCTTCGGTGTGCCGTGTCACATGATTTGTCAGGTGGATTCCTTCCACCCAGGATGTCGAGATGCGTCGCTACAGGCCCGAATACCACCGCACCCGAAGCCGCTGCTCAAAATCAGGACAGTTTTTCTCACATTTTTCGAAGCTGGTGTCATGGGGTTGTACCATATAAAACAGTGTCAGGCTTGTCGACGCCAATTTCATTCACGCGGCGCTCGCACAAACATGTGGACACTCAGCAGCTGTGCTCAGCTCGCCGTCGCTCTCGCTTTCGTGCAACCGGTCTGCCATGCCCTCGCTCCGAGCGGGCCCTGGGACAAATTTAATTACGCGCCGGCTTCGAAGATCGTCCGGCCGGTTTCTGTCCGCACCGTCAGCGGCCAAGTCTTGGGAGCGAGCGGTCTCGTTAAACAAGCAGAGGCCCAGGCAACCTTTCAAAGAAATGGCTCATATGTCGTTCTCGACTGGGGCAAAGAGGCGAGTGGTCTAAACACGATGGCAGCGCTGATTACTGACGCAGCCTCAGGTCGGGGGATCCTGTCTCTGACGGTCAACAGCGCGACCCAGCGCTCGCAATTCTCCCTGTCTTTCACCGAATCAGCGGAGTTCATCAGCCCGCACAACTCTGACGACTCGTGCCAAGTTTCTCCTCTCCACAACTTCGACGGAGTCCAGTCATTCCGGGCCCCACTACCCGTGGGTTTGATCACGCAGACTGTCGGACAGCAGAGGGGCGGATTCCGCTTCTTGACCATCGTTGCTGATGGCGCGGATCCTCTGACCATTTCGAACATTTCGCTGGCTCTGACGTTCATGCCCCATTGGGACGATCTCAGGGCTTACCCGGGATACTTCTTCGCACCTGACCCAGAATTTCACGACATCAACTTCTTGACGAAGATCTGGTACGCAGGTGCGTCGTCATTCTGCTATGTCCGATCACGGGCGGAGGGTGTAACGGCCAACAGGCGCGTATACGGTCCAGACAAACACGATTGATTCCCATCAAGCACGATTGCAACCGTGCTCGCCATCAGGTTTGTTTGGTTGTTCTTGGTCGAGTTTGGCGCACGAAATTGAATGGCGTTGCACAGGTGGCTGGTCGAATGATGCCTCGGGAGGTCCTGTAACTGGGCCTATCCTCGTCGATGGAGCCAAACGCGACAGGTGCGGAACAACCCCGCAGTTTGTAATCCAGGATTGCTGACATTTGGCAGGAATGTCTGGCCAGGTCAAGCCTTTCAATCCATGACATTTGAGCCTGAACTTACCGGGAGAATCAGGCGACTGTGGAATCTCCACACATACAGAACTGGTCGCCCTGAACGACTTGGAGCCGACAAAGAACTCGCTTACAGTCATGTTCTCCACGCAAGACCACGTCACTGGCGCGCTGAACTACTCTGGGCCGCCAATCAATGCACAGGGAAGCGACACGTACATCTCCTGGTCGCTTATCGGGACCCACAACTACCTCCTGTACACGGGAGACCTTGATTTCGTGAAGTTTGTCTGGCCGAACTACACCAAGGCGCTCGATTTCCTCGAAAGGCAAGTAGACTCGACGGGCCTTGCCAACGTTCCAACTGCATTCTCGAACGACTGGGGAAGGGACGGCGGCGCGGGGCACAACTCGGCGGCGAACGCGCTTCTGTATCAGGTGAGAGCGATTCTTGAGTGTTGAATATCCCTAGTCATGGTGATCCTAGACCCTTGTCACGGCTGCAGACCTCGCAGCCCATCTGGGAGACCTCTCTCTTGCCGCTGCGTATCTCGCCAACTCGACCAGAATCAAAGCAGCTTTCAATGCATTGCTTTGGGATGCGGCCGCCGGGATGTTCCGCGACAACGATCTGCCCGGTAGTATTCATCCTCAGGATGGGAATGCCCTGGCAGTTTTATTCAACCTCACGACATCTGATGCGCAGAACAAAGCTGTCAGCAGCGGTCTAACCAAGTTCTGGACGCCAATTGGGCCACTTAGTCCAGAGCTGAACGACACAATCATTCCGTTTGTTGGTGGCTTCGAGGTAAGTCGGTTCCTGCGGGAGCAACGTTACGCATTTACGCATTGAGATCTAATTGCATAACAGATCCAAGCGCATTTCATAGCCGGTGAGGGTGAGCGCGCGCTTGATCTCATCGAACGCGAGTGGGGTTACATGCTTTACACCAATCTGAGTGTGGAATCCACCCTGCTTGAAGGTTTCACAGCCAACGGATCGCTCGGGTGCGTTGCACGTTCAGCTCATGGAAAAAGGCCTCTGATTTTTCCGCCCAGATATCGTGCCTCGGCGGGCTACGACTTGGATCACAGTTACACGAGCCATTCGCACGGATGGTCCACAGGTTCGTTGCTCCGATTATCTCAGTTCTACCATTCAACACCCGTTATAGGACCTACTTCGGCTCTCACTTTCTACCTGCTGGGAATTCAGCTTAAGTCTCCTCTGGGAGCTACGTGGACCATATCCCCTGTCCTCAGTGGTCTCCCCTCGGCGGAAGGCGGGCTGGAAACAGCAATTGGTTTCTTTGGTGTGAAATGGACCGTCCAGGGTCATACTCTCACAGTGCGGCTGCAAACACCAACTGCGTCAAATGGAACGGTTTCGCTGCCGGGAGTGGGCCCGCTTACTGTTGATGGGCATAAAAAGTCCTCATCCTCAGGGTTAGTCAGCCTTGATGGAGGCAGCCATGTTGTCATTCGACGATTGAGCTCCTAATGGAGCTAGCTAGTCTTGTTACTCAGATTTAAGACCTGGAGGCAATAACAAATCACAATCATCTGTTCGTCGTCCATGTGTTCTCCGTGGTGATTCTACGACAGAAAATTTGAGCTCTAGCAACCCTTGCTGGAGAATCCCAGTCATCCGATGCCGACGGTGTTTGGACAATCCATACTGGAGAGAGTTGAAAATCAAGAACGGGATTCTTCAGGAGTGTTCTCGGGATCGAAAGGATGGCTACAAACCACGACATGGACAAGCTTGGCGGTAACCCATCGATTAGGGTCAGAACCGTTGGAGTTGCACGTGCCCGGTCCGGACACGCCGGATCCGACAGGAAGCTCCACACGGCACACGAGCTGAAGTTCTGCATGCACCCTGCGCTCGCTCTGCCCGAAGTCACCGACCACATCACATCTTATGTTACCTCTCAACATGATCTCAAGACATCGACCTACATGTCACCCGCCTTTCGGACTTCCGCCCAACGATCGCTTTTCGCCGCTATCGACCTATCCCAGAGCTCGAGTCCAGATCTGAGCCACAGCAAGGCGCTTGCCAGATGTCGGCGTCTTCGCGAGGTGCTAGACGGAGCCCCGTGGCTGGCGGGATATGTGCGGAAGCTGGTCATGAGCCTTGATACTATTGGAGATGCGAGAGACGAGCCGTCGCCGAGATGGCGCTTCGACAACCTGCACACCTTGGAGCTCCGATCTAATGCTGAAAACGGATCTCATGTGGGCGCGGGGATCTTTCCCTTCCCACCGCCCGTGGGCTTGCCAGGCGTGCGGGTGATCAAACTCGCTGGTGTCAGCTTTCAAACGACCGGGCTGCGCGACCTGTTCTCAAAGAGGACGACACCGTTGGAGACGCTTTCGATGATGGACGTCCAAATTACCTTACCGCTCGCTCCTCCCGCTACTGTCCCTCCCGCTCCACGTGTCGCGGTCAAGACTCTGGAGCTGATATCGACGTACACCGGTGGCCAGGATCCCGAATGGCTCACCCGCCTGGATCTCTTCCCTTTCGACCTCTCCACTCTCGAGGATCTCACAATCACGTGCCCGATACTACCGAGTGTCCTCCGTGGAGTCATCGACCCATCGCGCAAGACTTTGCGCAAGCTCAACATCGATGCCCGTGCGCCGCATCTCGTCAGCCCGCAGGCATGTGCTGATCGCTCTGACCAGGTGACTACGACCCGGTTCTGCAGCTGACATCGCTCCCTGCGCTGACTACCCTGGACGTCTTCGCCGGCATCGGCGGCGCCCGCTCCGTCGGCACCGTGCTCGCCTCCCTCTCCGACTCCGCGGCGTCCCCGGCCCCGGACTCCTCGCCCCTGCAGTTGGCCTCGCTGCAAATCCGCATGTCCATCATGGGCACCCTCGACGAGCCGTCGTTCTACGCGCTGGACGACTGGATCGCCGATGCGCCGCTTCCTGCGCTCAGGCGGGTGCATATATCCATCAGCCGCGTCTACTTGCCGTGGACCTCCGGCCCCGAGTTCCCCGCGTACTTCGTGAGGAGGATGGCCGGGATGCGGGTTATGTTTCCGAGGCTCAATGAGCGGCATAAGCAGAGCGACGAGTTTCTCTGGTGCAGCTATGTCAACTGTAAGCACTTGGCCGCCAAGTTTTGCTCGATTCTACCCGCTCATTCCCGTTGCCAGTCAAAGAGCAAGTGTTTGTCTGATCAATCCACTGTACTTGTGAAATAGATACATAGGATCCTCCGCGCTTTCTGTTTCTTGAAGAACGAACCTCGTAAGGTGGTGCAGAAGCATTTTGTGTCGAATCGATCTGCTTTTCGGGCGCTCGCACAACGAGTGACATTCCGTGTGAGGAGCAAGCGAGTTTGGACTCACGGGCTTCAGAAATCCTGTCAACTCTCGAAATGCACCAGAAAAGGATCTCAAAAGGCAAGGGATATGGCGCCGTGCTAAGATGGGACAGCCTTGCTGTGACAATCTGGTGCCAAGTACACGAGTCTCACTCGTGTATCTAGAGTCGAAAAATCAGTATTCGAATCCTCTATTGAATATTTGTAGATATCTTCGAAAAGATTCTGGTAGTCCCGGATCATTGGCGCTGCTCTTATTTGCGTAAAAGAGAAATTTATTCCCAAAGGGTCGTGGCTGATGAATGGCCACGATACGATCATTTTATCAGATCCATTGATTCATGACTGGGCCGCTTTTGTGGTCGACGACGAAGGACCACGCTGGGTGTCTACAAATATTTCAACCACTGAAGCATATTTTTATGAATAAAAGGCATGAGAAGGATTTCCACTCTCCAAACGCAATACATGGCAGGCAGCACTAGCCTGGCCGCTGAAGGGCCAAGCCAGTGTTGTAGATAAGGGTGTTATTAAGGGTGTCTGCTGAAATTAAGGTCTTAGGACAAGGTAAGAGTTATTAAGGGTGCCTATTTTAAGGGTCTTTTATAAGGCTTATTACCCGATTTGTATTCAAGTCCCAAATGAGTTTATTTGCGTCAATACTGGTTCAAAACATTACAAGAAAACTTCTACGGCGCGTATTCATCTCCGGAGCCCTCAAGAGCACCTGCATCCGGTGCTTCATTGTCATGTTTGGCAGCTAACAGCTCCATGTACAGTGCTTCCTCCGACACCACGCGTTCGCAACAGGCCATCACAATGGGGTTTGAGACTTTCCCCCCAAAGAGAGATGAGAGGGTGGTTGGAAGCCACGAGCTGGTACGTGGACGTTGTCTGTTCATGGGAATTGCTGCCAGTGTAGGTAATTCTATATTAAGACTTATTAAGAGCCTTATTATGTTTTACACCGATGTTAAGGGTTCAACTTATCTTAAGTTAAGTACATAATAAGCCTGGTCAAGTTAAGACCTTAACTACTTATCAACAACACTGGGCCAAGCTGCATCATTCGATCTGATTATCGGATAGTGGCAGTGGGCAGACTGTTTCTCTGGCGAGGCCACTCGTTTAAATTCAGTTGTTCAATCACCTCTCTCAATACTCACATCGATTCACCCGCGCGGCAGTAATATCTGCCAGTCCAAAGGATCAATGGCCTTCGCGGCCCCATTGCCCTCTGATCCGCTCGCCTATCTTCAAATCGCTTTGCTCAGCCCGCACTTTCATATGGCTTGCGCGCGAATCCGATCCGGTCGTGAGCGCACTACGGAAGCATGCTCTACTGACCACTGACTATGCGACTCAGTGCATCACTATCTGCTCTTGTTTGCACTTCCACGAATTACCAACAGCATCCGTTATCGGGATTTTTTCGGCATCTGATGACCTTCCCCCCGGTGAGTCCAATCGCTTCTGTGTGAGAATATCCATTAATTTATCATGAAGCTTGAACATCATCTGTTGCTGCACCGGCGACTTTCAAAATACCGAATATACCAATTTGGTGCATTGTTGTATTCCTGACGAAGTCTGCTGCGATGGGCCCACCGAGAAGGAAGGTCAAACAACGCCTATGGTCTTTTTGTTTAGCCATGATCGAGGAAACCTAGGACTCACATGCAGTTGTCTACGCGTCAGAATGACCAAATTAGCCATAAAGAAAGCGAGCTGTGTCAACCATCGTTCGTGTCCTGTTGACGTCATATTTACAACACGCACATTTCCCCCATATTTTCTCTCCTTCACAGTGGCTCGCTACATCAATCGTTCACCGTGCTCAAACTTCTGTCTTTTTGATCGTTTCCAAGTCGGCCTCTTGTCGCTCACCTCGCACAGCCCAGCACCGACTAGCTCTGGTCGAGGTCCTCGTTCTTAGTCATGCTCAGAGGTTTTTCAAAACCCACGCAAATAATCAAAAGATACCGGAGTTCAAAGCCGGCACTCATCACGGACCAGAAGCTATCTCCTCCGTCGGCGTAAGCATCTGCCTTAGATCCGCTCCAATTCACTGTATGCTCGCGCGAATTCTTCCAGCGGCGTTCAAAACGTAAATCACTGTAAAGTTAGAAAACCAAACTCGAACTGCCCTTCACAAGACCGGCACACGCTCAACAGTAGGAGGTGCAGCCGCACCCACCCACGGGCTGATTGTTCTCGTGACTGCGTGCGAAATCAATCATCGTACCTTCTTTATCTCAGACTCCGACGCAGCGTTAACCATGCGAATCAGGCAAGATGATGTGAGCCTGTTCGTGCAGGAACCCACGAAGGAGCGGCGAGGACTCCAGTCCGATGGAAGATTTCGGCCATCGACGAAAGCTTGGGACTCAAATGCGGTATCGATCCAGCGGGACCGATAAGCATCCCTCTGATGCGCCCTCCGTACATCTGATCCATTCTTGACGAAATCAGATGTTATGCCTTGCTCAAACCGACGAGCTGAAAGGTCTCATGCCTCCTGACCATTTCGTGTCCCGTTATGGAAATTACCGGTTCTGCCTTCCACGAGAGCGGCGGCCGGGGTGACAGATTGGGATCACTCGACAGGTCTCTTGTTACGTACACTGTGAAGGGACGCTGATTTTTATCCTCAGCCGTGGCCGTGGCGCGACAACTCAAAAGGAATTTAATTGACTGTACGTTTGTGAAAGACACAGATCCGCCAGCGACCCCATCACAGGCTGTCAGGGCGGTCTCAGGGTAGAGCGAGTTTGAGGGAAATCGATAATCGCTCCATTACAACACATCAGTCGGGAGAAAGATTGTGAAAGGAACCAGGACGGAACAAGCTTGAGGAAGGAAGCAGAAGGAGCTCCGGGATCGTGATGCCGATGAGCACTCGGAAGCGGAAGTACGCTTTGGGTGGCATATTTTGCATTTTTTGTGGGCTTGGACGTGCGAACCATCTCAGCAGTGGGCCGAGGGAGTCACGAGAAAATTTCTCCGTGTTTCAATCGTTGAGGCAATCATACTGCCTGTCCGAGGAAATCATTAATTTGTGTGCATGGGCGCTAGTGATCGTTGGGGAGTCGGGACAATTGTTGCTTCAATTGATGGTTTAGGTTAGAGTACAATGCGAACTTGCGAAACTCTGCCTATCTTTATTAAACCGTGGCGTTTATGGGCGACGACCTATCCCAAGATTTCACACACCGCAATAAATTCTCTTCGAACTCTGCTGATTGCCTGTTAATGGACCTGAGGGAAGAGCGAAGACATGGGAAGATGCTGTCAGCGAACCAAATTGCCGAAATGAAAAGCTCCGAGATAGAGCATGCGGGGATCGGTGTGCATCTTTGTGCATGGAAATGGGATGTCACTGGATCCATTATCGGTCAAGATCACTGCGAGCGGAAGTCGTGCATCAGCGGTGCGCTAACGCAAGGCCGAGAAGGGGCGGTGGCACTAGTGAATCCGGCCGTAGACTCGCACAGGATGCATGCTCTAGCACTGTGTGAATCTATAAATCAGAAGGCGGGTGCGCTCAACGGGACCTACAGGACGCTATCGATAGCACGTGTCTGCAAGGTTTTCGATCCATCTCCAAGAAGTGATGCAGCGAACTGCTCTATCGGGACGAATCCACACCTGGCCGATTGTCCGAAATCAGATCACACAACCCGTCAAAGCGCCCGTAGACGGAAGAACGCACATATTCATACCGAGGGAAAGGAGATGGAATCCACACGTGTTTCCAACGTGTTTCGGAAGTCTAACGCAGAACTCGTGTTCCAAATACGGCTTCAGACACGCCTCGGCCAGAGGGAAAGCCCCGCCGCCTTGCTCCCGTCATTTCTTCAATGTTCCTCGTGTCCTTTGTCTCCAACCGTCCGCGCCCCCTCCTATAGTACTTTCAGCTGAAATCGCGTCATATAAAGTGATTTTTCCGCTTCTTTCTTCCCTTTGATTATCACACTGGCCGCGACTGACATTGCATGGACCCCCGCCGGTCGGCTTCGACCAAGGATCGCGAACCGTCCCCCGGACATGCTGCACCCGAAATCAATCCTCGCGACGCGCCTAGCGCCACCCGTCCACCACCCCTCACCACGCAAGCGGCGGAAATCCGCAGACCGCTCGACGGAGATGACCGCCGTGAGGCAACACAGGCGATGCGCCGCGAGCTGCAAGCGGCCCAGGACGAAGCCCGGCAGCTTCGTATGCTGCTTGAGCAAGCAGCCGAAGGGAAGAGAGCTGTGGACGAACGATTGGCGCGGGCCGAGGCCGAATTGCGGGAGACGCGTGCGGCACTTCGCACGACAGATCAGCGAACAAGAGACGGGCAGGAGGTGGTTGGGCATCGGTGGAATCAGCTCGAACGGCATATCAGTGCATTACAGCAACAGGCCGCCGACGCGCGGAGGAACTTTTCCAGAGTCGTGCAGGAAGGGGCGGGTCCGGCTCCGGTCACATTGCCGCCGGTGTCCGAGATTTCGCGTGCGCCGCCACTGCCCAGACTGCATCCACACCACGATATCCTCACCAGAGAGCCACCAGTTTTGGAGCCCTCGCAGATCCCACTTCCTCCCCGAGAGGTAGACCACCTTCGGCGACTTACGGGACCACCCCGGCGCTCATCGTCCGCGCCGTTCGTGCTGACAGAGGCAGAGCGGGTAGAGACTGAGCCCCCAGCGAAACGCAGGAGGAGAGAGGTAGGTCGTTCAGCCACAATCAGAGAATATCTCACATTGACCGCTTCGTAGTCCCCGCAGAGTTTTCCATCATTTCCACGCCGCCCGTCCACAGCCGGCTCGTCCTCCGCTTTCACTCGCCAGCCCCGACACCCAGATACCCACCACCAATCTCATACCCGCTCCCTTTCTCCAGAGTATCAACGCCGGCACTCATCACCGCTCCGAGAGCGCCTACCGGCACCTGCATCACCGCATGCACTCTATGACCCACGCACGGGAACAGCAACAAACTATCACCCCTACCACCCCCACCCGGGCGGCGGAAGCTATCCTGCCTCTGCTTACGGCCCGCCCCCGCTGCAGATCATCCAACACCGCCATCCCACGCCGCCCCCGCCGCCCCCACCACCCCCACTTCCACCGAGCGTGCCCACGGGCGATCCCGACGCGCCATACCAGTATCAGCACCGCTTCCAGCTGGGCACGCAGGTCGCCCCGCGCCGGAACGTGCGGCCCGGTGCGTATGAGACGGTGGTGTTTGCACTCGAGCCTGAGGGGGGTGGGGGCGCGCCGACGGGAGGAAGGATGGGCGGGTACGATTTGGCGTCCGGAGACGCCATCGTGGACGAGCGTATCGATGGGGTAGGCGGTGGTGCTGGCCGCCGGGGAGAAGAATTGGAAGTGGATAGTTTGAGGCCCAGGAGCAGCTCTAGTCTGTCTAGGAGGCGTAGAGATTCCGACCCCCGGGGGGAGAGACGAGATGAGACACCTCCGAGGCGCTAGTTGGGTTGTTGCGCTGCGCTGGAGCAGGAACGTTTGATAGTGTGGCAAATCCTATGTTAGGCAAGCTTTAGTAGTATTTCAGATTACAGGATATTTTTAATTGGAGGTGATGAGCTGGCGGAATTTCGATCCGAGAAACATGCTGGGGGGAAGCAAAGCTGGAAAATGACACATGGATTCTTCTGACACGGCGAGGATCCGGGCCTAAGGCTCGGTCTGGACAAATGGGTGAAAATGACTGCAGTCAGTCAACCTTGACAGCTAACTGATCTCGGCTGATTCCGTGTCTCATCAGCTGTCAAACTGAAGGGCACCAGCTTCAATATTGGTTATACTGGCACTATTATCTGTACAGTCTGTAAATTATACATTGTTAAAATACACAAATTGTTTCCATTAATCTGAGTTCAGGCACCACAGATGTCAGGTTTTTGAACAGTGGTGACACCACACAATTGCCATGGAACCTTACAGAAGGATTGAGGGAGGACTTGAGTAGAATCACCTAGAATAAATATCTGATAGTATAAAAACCTGTTAGTAGGCTAGGAAAAAAAATCTTTTTCCCATTCAAATCACTGTGTGAGCCCAAGTTACTCAAAAGCTTTGACAAAGCTTATAGTCACAGCAAAATTAAAGGGCCCAACCCATATTGAGAAGGTACCTTACAAATCCATCAATTTAATTTACCACACTATATCTCCTCCTCTACCACCGTGTATACAACGTGTACGACATTGAATAAGCTCAGGACCGTGTTGTTGAAGTGACCAGACACGCTGTTGATGTTGCGGAGTGGGTTGTTGATGCCTGGTATGCTTAAAAGCTGTGCCCATAAGCTTTGCTCATTGGTCCCTCTCTCCCATCCTCCCTCCCTCTGATGTCTCCCTCCCCTCCCACAACCCCACGCACCCAATGCACCTATGCTGTCATCACGCCAACCAAGTGGGCCATGGCTTCCATCATGCACAATTGATGCTGCATGTCAGGGGCAAAGATCTGTACCAAGTCCCCTTTTTGCAAACTGAAGATCAAGCCATGTGCTCTTGCCAAGAGCATGAAGAAGGTCGCAGAGCACAACAACAACTTTTACTTCAACGGCAAGAAGGGTGTATGTGGGAGGAAGAGGACACTGTCAGAGGAGCAGATCACAGAGGCCATTGTCAAGCTTGATGGCAAGCAGGTGAAGCGCATCCTCTTCCCCAATATCCTGTCTCGCACTGTGCATCACAGTCACTACAGCATTGCTCTTCCTAACCCTTCCAACTCACAGGTCCAGGATGCACTCACCAAAGCCGGTCTTCCTGGCTTCGTATAACGACAGAAGCTGCCACTCACCAACGAGCATCTCACCCAGTGCCAGCAAATGTAAAAGAAGTTTGAGGCTTGGACAGACCCCGAGTTCTTCAAGATGGGTGTCATGATTGTCAGTGACAAGACAAAAATGATGCTGGTGTCAGGGGAACCCCTGCTTTCGTCCGATCATCATGGGATCTTGCATGTGACCGCGCACGCGCCATCTGTCAGGCGTCACATGCTTTGGTCTGGACTTCCCTGCCAAGCGCGTCCACATGACACTCTGGCCCGGACCCCCATTGTTCCAACGGTCCGGTGATAGGCTGGCTACCAGACATGCTCTGCACCAGCTCTGTAAGGGCGTATTTTTGCGCTTTTTACAGAGTTTACTCTCGAACCATTTGGTGTATTGTGTCACGGTTGACAGTGTTGCGCTCAGTAGGGCTTAAGGGTCTACTGCCCAGTCAACGACTGTGGAAAGTGTCAACGATAGCAAGGCAGTCAGACCACTACTGTGGAATTGGTCTTATGAGTCTATACCAGGCTCAGGGCTATTAGTGACGAACGCTTGGACCACGACAATTCCCCAAAAGGGATCTTTGTTGCGGCGACTTCTCAAAAGGGTCATTCTCTGCGGGTGGGAACTTGGGCTGAAGGGCTGAGCAATGTGCAACGTTCTCAATATTACAACGACTACTGGACAGGACTTGGTGTTACGAGATTGAACCAATCTTGCCGCGGCAACTCCCGGTTTTGGGTTAAGACGTTTCCTCAGATCATGCTACGGTGACGACTTGTCACATGTCAGGATCCATTCGATCACGGGACATTGTGGACGCGTCGCGGTGACACTTCCAAGTGTCATGGCGAGTTGCGCCCATACCCAAATACACTAAGACCGACACGGCTAGATCCGTGAACCGAACCATGTGAGGAACGACTGGCGTGCCTAGGGCCATACGGCTTCTTGGGGCACCCACGTTGGACTCACCTGCCAAGACATACCAGTTGGCCAATCCAGCACGTCGTATTCCAAAAGTATGACGCGGTGAGTTGAACCACATGTAAGGGCAACCTCGAGACCCGATCTCAGAGTTCTGGCAAGGGAGAATCCAAAGGTGATTAATAGTGGTAGCTAGGTACAAGACCGGCATACCTGGCAAGGGAGAATCCAAAGAGAAACCGTGTTGGGGATTCTCCTTGCCAGGCGCCACTATTTATATGATACAAGAACAATGGAGCACGCAGCGACAAACAAAGAACAATGGGGACAATAAGTACAACGGCCATGACAGAACAATGGGAGCGGGGACAATAGGAACAATGGGGCACCTGGCCATGTGCCCATCAAGGAGAAGCGCTCGGCGCGGCAGTCCGGGCCGCGGCGCGTGACAGCTGACAGGTCACGCGAGCGCAATCACATGCCTGATCGAAGGCAGAGCGGTCCGAAACGGGGGTTCCCCTGACACCACATCAAAAGTACCATATGGACTATGGGGTGGGGTCCTGATCACTCAGGACCTGTCCGATCGTTCAACTTTTCATTACCCTAAAAGGCAACCAATCTTAGATAGCGTAGCTACTATGCAGTTGTACAGGACTTTACTAAGCATTGTCGTAGACAGTATAAGTAGCACGTTGTTTCTTTGTATTAAGGAGCTTTCCCCCGGACTGTGAATCATTCTCATATCAGATTGTTTTGTACAATTTGCGTGCCGCGTGATTCCATCCTAAGAAGTTCTGCTACCCCTGCCCGGTTGCAACGAGTTGCTCCCTGAGCACTTGTAGCTACTGTGATTTGAGTTTGAGTTGAGATATCAGAAAGTCAGATTCGCTGCATCTGGTTTAGTCGCGGCATTTAGTGTCGTCGCCTTAGGGCTTTGTTGAGATCGTTCCACACCTCTAGCTTGGCAGTGCGTCGACTAGTTGTGCTCGGGTTGTTTTGGTCAGTTGGCAGTGCGTCGACTTGAGAACTTTGGTTCCACACTTCTTGCTTGGCAGTGCGTCGACAAGTTGTGCTCGGGTTTTGGACATTGGATATTGGCTGTTAGTTGGCAGTGCGTCGACGCGGCATTTTGGTTTACTAGTTGGCAGTGTGTCGACTCAGTACTTTTGGTTGTGTCAGTTGGCAGTGCGTCGACTCAACATTTTGGTTCTACTAGTTGGCAGTGCGTCGACTCAGTATATTGGTTGTATTGGTTGGCAGTGCATCGACTTGATATTTGGGCTTTGCGTCACCATCTGGACGCCGTCGCTACGAGGGATCTTAATACTTCGTATTAAGCTCTAACTCATGATATTGTTGGTTGTGGTTGGATTAGTGTCGGTTTTGTTCGTATAGAAGATATTGGTTGAGACACCACTGTTTGCTATATATAAATTCTTGTCGTCGACTTTGTCTTCCGCGACTATTGATCTGCGTCTATTGAGAGTTGTGATACTGGTGTTCTGTCCACCCTGAAGCCCTCACATCTTTCACACACTGAGAAGCTGATTACAAGGAGTGTGAACGTGTTTATATTTGGGTTTACTTTCATAGTAGATTCACCTGTGAGCGCGCCCTCAGCATTTCAACGGTCCAAGACATACTTGATAGGTAATCCGTGGTGTCGCCAGACATGCTTGTAGAACAACCGAGCCATCCCTTCGGCCGAGAGGTGAGTGTGGCACTCGATGAAGTGAGCATGCTTTCCTAGCATATCAACGACCACCATGATGGCGTCATAGCCGTGCGCCTCGGGCAACTCCACAATAAAGTCCACCGACACCAATTCCCAACGTTCCAAGGGGATCTCCGTGGGGTGAAGTTCTCCAGTGGGGAGTCGTCGGAGGGCTTTGGTCTGACAGCACAGGTCGCAGGTGGCCACGTACCGGCCAACGTGTCGTGGGAGCTGGGGCCACCAGTAGTTCCGGGAGACCAGCTCCAGCGTCTTGAAGCGGCCGGCATGCCCTGCAACACGGGTGTCGTGGTGTTGCTCGAGGATGCGTTGTCGGAGGTCCCTGTCATGCGGAACCATTAGCTTCCCACGGAGGTAGAGGAGGCCATCCTGGATGCGCCATTCTGCTGTAACAGCGGAGCGGGCCCCCTTCATCCCTCTTAGAAGCTGTCGCGCTATAAGCGCAAGTTCTTCCTCAAGGTCAGGGTCACCGGAGAGCGATTCCCGAATGTCATGGACAAGCAGGGCTTCCGGGTCAGAGACGGACAGTCCTTCAAGTGCTCGCACATGGAACAGTTCCGGTTTCAACAGGGTGACGTCTGTGTTGTCCGAAGGGGCCCCGTGGTCCAGGCGTCGGGAGAGTGCATCTGGGCGTCCCATGAGCTGGCCGGGTTGGTGGTGGAGCGTGAAATCGAAGCGGGATAGGTAGAGCGACCATCGGGCTTGCCGGCAATTGAGGTTCTGGGCCTTGCGGAAGAACTCCAGGTTCTTGTGATTGGTCCAGATCTCCACGGGGTGTTCAGCGCCCTCCAAGAAGTGCCGTCACTCCTCCAGCGCATGCACAATCGCCAGCATCTCCTTGTCGTGGATCTTGTAGTTGCGCTGGACGTCATTGAGGCTCTTGGAGAAGAAGGCAACTGGGTGCCACTTGTTGTCTGAGGGGGACTGCTGCGAGATGACGGCTCCTGTGGCAAAATCGGAGCTGTCAGCCTCTAGGCAATAAGGACGAGAGGAGTCTGGGAGGAGAAGAACCGGCGTGGAGGTAACTGCATCCTTCAAGGCCTGGAACGAAGTGGACTCGTTGTCGCCCCAAGACCATGGTACATCCTTCTTGGTGAGGTCAAAGAGCGGGCGTGCAACGTGCAAGAAGTCCCAAATAAACCTCCGATAGAAGTTAGTGAACCCAAGGAACTGCTGCACTTCCTTCTTGTTAGAGGGAGCCGGCCATTTGGCTACGCCTGCCACTTTGACGGGGTCCATCTCAACGTGGTTGTGGGAGATGATCACGCCAAGGTACTCAATGGACTCCATCTCGAATTCGCACTTCTCAGCTCGGAGGTACAGCTTGTTTTTGCGGAGGCGTTGGAGGACTTTGTTCACGATACAACAATGGAGGTGAAGGTCGGCATGCGCAATGAGGATGTTGTCCAGGTACACCATGACGTCGCCCAAGAGAATGAGGTCCTGGAGGATGTCATTCATCATAGTCTGGAACGTTGCAGGGGAGTTGGTGAGGCCGAAATACATCACCAGTGGCTCGAAGAGCCCGCGGTTGGTTCGAAACGCAGCCTTCCACTTGTCTCCTTCTTGTATCCGTACGTTGTTGAACCCCCATCGAACATTGAGTTTGGTGAAGAAGCGGGCTCCCTTGAGCTTGTTGATGAGGTCGTTGATCAAGGGAAGGGGGTACCGATTCTTCACTGTCATTGCATTCAGTGCCCGGTAATCCTGGACAAACCGTAGACTGCCGTCCTTCTTCTTGACAAAGAAGATGGGGGAGGCCATGGGGGACTTCGAGGGTCAGATCCGGCTGGTGGCCATGCCTTCTTCAATGAAAGCGTCAAGCTGCTTCTGCTCCAAGGGGGAGATGGGGTAGACCTTGCAGTTTGTTGGCTTCGCGTCGGGCACCAGTTCAATGGCGTGGTCCCAAGGGCGACGTTCCAGAAGATTGTCAAAGGATTCCTTGCTGAAAACATCCTCGAACTTGCGTGCCCACTCGGGTATGGAATCCTGAGGGGGGGCAGAGTTCTTGGCAAACGCCTCCGCGAGACGCTGGGAGACGGTGCTAGTGGCTCGGATGTCTTCAGAAGGGTTGAAACGGGTGTAGAAGATACAGTCACCGGTTTCCAGACAATCTTCTTCTTCATCGGAATCTTCTCCATCGTCTTCCTGGAGCAGCGGCATAGCCTCGTCTTCGCGGTCTTCCATATCGACAACGCAGATGGAGGGGCAGGGCCTTGTCGGGCTGATCGGAGTGCTCAGGCCGAAATCCGGGCTATCCGTCTCTCTTGGCGAGACTCCTTGGTGCAGATGGAGCAGCCAGACAGGCAGCGGCTCATCTTTACTTCCTGCGTGTTCCAATTGATTTCCGGGTTGTGCTTCCGAAGCCAAGAATAGCCAAGGATCAGCTTCTGCTTGCCAAGCCGGGTGACAGCAAGCTGGACCCGCTCACTGTGTCCTTGGTAACGCAGGACCACATCAGCAACTTGTCAAATGGAACCAGCTTTGTTTGGCGTGCCGTCCACATTGTAGACTGGGATGGGCTGAGAGAGCTGCCTGACCAGAAGTCGGTTTTCGGAGGCGTAGGTGGAGTCGATGAAGTCCGACGTGGCGCCGCAGTCAACCAGTCTGTTGAGAGAGAGCTGGAATGCGTTGTCAGTGGACTGCATCTCCAGGGGGAGGTGCAGGGAGTTGGCGCCAGGGGAGGCTGCAACCACATAGCGCTGAGGGAGTTTTTGTTCCCACTTTTCTTTGTGGACCAGCGGGACTGAACGAGGGGCAGGAGGTACGTCTATTGTTTCGTTTGTGGGGGAAATGAGGTCGCATTCATCATACAGACATTCGAAACAATTACGTGAGGCGATTGAGGGCGTACTATTCATTTGTCGCGGGGGAGAAAACCCTGCTCCAACTCGTTGGCAATCTCCGCTTCATGCTCCTCTACGGCCGCCGTAGTTGCTAGCCGGGCTACTAATTCCGCCAACAGGTCGCTTCCCAGCTGATTGATCACTTCGTCCAGGACGTTGGCGTGCCGGACATCAGCGGGGGTCGGGCAGTCTTGGGCCAGATGTCCTGGGCTGCCGCATCGGAAGCAGGTGCGACGAACACTGCTGTGGGCTCTGGTTCGGTCGATCTCCATGGGAATGCCCAGCGGGAGGACTACTGGGGCTGGTTGGGGAGCGGGAGGAGGGGCAACCACCGGAGGAGCCATGGGGCAAGGACGGGGAGCTGCAGGAGGTGGGGCGCGGGGTGGAGAAACCACCTGTCCTTGTGCAGCCCAGGCAGCCACCTCCGCGTTGTACTGGCGGAATGTGCGGGTGTGCCACTCCGAACAGTTCGTGAGACTGGGTGGGTTGCCAGAGGTCGTGATCGCCTGGTTGATTCTGGGGTCAAGACCCACCCGGTACTTGGTGACCTTGACCAGGTTGTCGGAGTACTGTGACAATCAACACAAGATAATGTCGAAAAGAGAAGTGAATTCGAAGACTGGAGAATACAACCAAGTAGCTACAGTATTTATACCCAAATCCAGTCTGAGTCATATCTACAACTAATGAGTCATAGGGCTATGTACCGCATGGAACGCTGGTCATGGGTTGTAGTAGAACCTTCTGGAGCATATGTCGCGCAGCCTTGAATCGATAGAGATAACCCCTGGCCTGGACCGTCTGATGCCGTGATCCGTGATAAGATAAGTCGTGCCAAGATAAGATAAGATCGTTGATGATAAGATGAGAAAGTGGCCGAACTATGACATTACCCCCTCTCTAGGGTCGATGTCCTCATCGACTAGGCCAATGGGCGTGAAGATGTTCTCGTATGGATCGAAGAGTTGTCGCTGGGGGTATGGAAGGCGCTTGTCCTTGGGTTCGTAGCGATGAATGAGATAATCCCAGTGTCCGGCTTCGAGCGTTGGCAGGAGGCGGATGCGTGTGTCTGGGTTGGATTGTTTCCTCTGCCAATCTCTCAGGACCTTCTTTGCATGGGTAAGGTGACGTGATGGTTCCCAAGTATTTTTGCTATGCGGCCAGCCCTTCCATTTGACCAAGTACTGTTTTCCTCGGCCGAGGTTTCGCTCTTTCACGATCTCTTCGACTTCCCACTCCTCTGCTCCTCCGATCATCTTGGCTACGGGCCTCTTCTCTCGGCGATGGGGGGGTGGTTTGTGGTATGGTGTCAATAGTGACTCGTTGAACACCGGGTGTCTTCGGTCCGTGTCCGGCAAATCCAGCTTCCATGCGGCCGCTCCAACCTTCTCCAGTATCTCGTATGGTCCTAATCTCTTGTCGCTCATCTTCTTTGATGGTCTATCCGTCTCGATATTTTCCCCTTCTATGTACACCTTCATCCCAACCTTCAACTCCGGAACTTCTTTTCTTTGTTTATCGTAGTATTTTTTCATTTTTTCTTTTGCTTTTTCCAATGCTGCTTTTGCTTTGTCTTGTATTTCTTTGATTCTTTTTACAAATTCCTCCGCCAACTCGTTCCTCGATTCCATCCGCTGCTCCACTCCCTTCCATGGGTGATATCCGTGATTCGCGTAGAATGGCAATACTTTGGTGGACGTGTTCATTTTGTCATTGTATGCGAACTCCGCCATTCCCAGCCACTCCGACCAGTCCATCTGATGGTAGTTGACGTAAATGCGGAGATAGTGCTCGATCTCCTGATTCATGCGTTCCGTTTGTCCATCTGTGATCGGGTGATATGCGGTCCCCGGATTCATTTCCACACCCAACATCCGATTTGTCTCCTTCATGAAGCCTTTGATGTAACGTGAATCCCTGTCAGTGATGATCTTGCGGGGGATCCCGTGGTAGCGGAAGACTCGATCCCTGGTTAATCGTGCAACTCCTTCACTGCTGATGTCAGTACTAATTGGTTCGACATGGATCATTTTGGTGAAGGTGTCACACCACACATGAATTGCGTCATACCCATTACTGACCGGTAGGGGTCCGATTTGATCCATGGAGATGATTTCCCACGGCGCATTTGGGACTGCATGCGGGTGCAGAGTCCCTGTCCTTGCTCTCCTGGTCTTGGTCCGCTGGCACGCCTCGCACGTCTGGATGTACTTCCGGATTTGGTTCCCCATCCTTGGCCACCAGTAGTTCCTTTCCACCATTTCCTGCGTTCGATTGATCCCAGCGTGTCCGACCAAGGGTGTGTTGTGGTGTAGCCCAATGATCTTGTCTCGCAGTTCCTTGTCCCTTGGTACGTAGAGCTTCCCATGGTATGTGATGAGCCCGTCTTCCTTCTTCCATCCGACGAGTGACTTCTCCAAGGCCGCCTTGACGCTTCCATCAATTGATCGAATGGCCTTGATTTCATCGATCAGCTGCTGATCCTGTCCCTCGAATGTGACTTCTTGTGATCGGAAGAACTCGGGCTTCAGTAGCGTGACATCCTTGTTGTTGTTCTTGCCCTGATCGTGATCCGCTCGTCGAGACAGGAGATCCGCCTTGCGGTTGAGTGCGCCGGGCCGGTGTCGTAAGGTGAAGTCAAACTCCGCCAACTCCGTGATCCATCGTGCTTGTCGTCGATTGAGCTTCTGCGGTTTCCGAAAGTACTCGAGATTCTGATGATCGGTGAAGATCTCGAACGTTTCCGTGGCTCCCAGGAGCAACTGCCTCCATTCGTCAAGCGATAGCATGATTGCAAGCATTTCCTTGTCGTAGATCTCATAATTTCGCTCGGTTTCTGTCAATGCGTGCGAAATAAATGCGATCGGGCGCCAAATGCCATCTTGGTTTTGGCTCAAAACGGATCCTGTTGCCCCTTCCAAAGCATCGGCTTCCAGACGATATTGGCCGGTGTCGTTTGGTAGAGCTAGGACCGCATCCTCCGCGATTCTCTTCTTCAATCCATCAAATGCTGCACGCTCATCCGTACCCCATGACCATCCTGCCTTCCCTGTCAGCCGAGTCAACGGCTTGGCAACCTCTGCGTATCCCCGAACAAAGCGTCGATAGAAGTTTGTGAACCCTAGAAACGCTTGGACTTGTTTGACGCTCTTTGGTTCCGGCCATTCCATTACGCCCTTGATCTTGACTGGGTCCATCCGCATCGAATTGTGTCCAATAATTACACCCAGATATTCGATTTCCGTGCGTTCGAACTCACACTTTTCGGGCTTCAGGTATAGCTTGTGTTTCTGGAGCAGTTTGAGCACTCGTTTTGTGATCCGCCGATGTTCGTCCAAGCTCTCTGTGAAGATCAGTATATCATCAAGATAGACTACCACGTGTCCCTCGTTGATCAATTCTCGGAGTATGTCGTTCATCATGTTTTGGAACGTTGCCGGGGAATTCGTGAGACCAAAGAACATAACTAAGGGCTCGTACAGCCCTCGGTTCGTGCGGAATGCAGCCTTCCACTCATCGCCCTCTTTGATCCGTACATTGTTATATCCCCACCGGATGTCGAGCTTGGTGAAGAACTTTGCGCCGCATAGATTATGGACCAGTTCAGAGATCAGCGGCAGCGGGTATCAATTCCGGATTGTCATCTCATTCAGCTTCCGATAATCTTGGACGGGACGTAGCGAACCATCCTTCTTTTTGACAAAGAAGAATGCTGAAGCCATGGGTGATTTCGATGGTCTAATCCGTCCGCTGGCCAGGTTTTCTTGTAAGAATTCGTCGAGTTTGACTTGTTCATTGCGTGATAACGGGTACACCTTGCAGTCCACTGCTTTGGAACCAGGTTTGAGCTCAATCGCATGATCCCATGTCCGTCGGTCCGGTAGCGAGTCGAACGATTCCTTGGCAAATACCTTGACAAATTCCCGATATTGATCCGGAATCTTTCCCTTGGTCATCCTCTCCTTCTCTTTTTCCGCTTCTTCTGCGAATTTCTGTGCCGGCGTTTCCTTCAGCCGTAGATCCACCTCCTTCCCAAAGTCGATCAACAGGATCGATTCTCCCTCTTCCAGATCCGGTGTGCCCGTGTCCAGGTTGATTGCATCCATGTCAACCATCGCTGGATGCTCCTCGTGACCCCTCATGTGACACCGCTCTGGGCATCGGCTGAATCTCATGGTCTGCTCCTGCCAATCCACCTCGGGGTTGTGTTCCATCAGCCAATCAAGACCGATGAAGATCCAGGCTTTCCCCAAGCACGTCAGAAGGAACGTGCGTGTCTCCACATGAGGACCGATTCTCATCCTAAGGTCGACGTAATGCGTGATCCGACCGCTGATGTTCTCGGTGTTGTCGGCGTTACGAGCCACAATGGGTTGTGGGAGCTCTTGGATATCCAACTTCTCCGCCCGTGCGTAGTCGGTATCGATGCAGCAGGTACTGTAGCCGCTATCGAGCAGCGCCTTGACTCCGCGCGTTTTTCCTGAGTCCAGACCCGTGATCTGGACATATACGTCCATCGAATGCCTCTTCCTCTTGGCCTGGTAATTGCGCAGTTCCTGCGTTAACCTGCTGGGCTGGGGTCCCTTCTGTTTCTCAGCCGCCAATTTCCTCTGGACGGCATCTGGCACCCTGGTGCGTTTGGGTGCTTCTGGAACCTTGATTTCGGCAGATTCCTTAGGCGCTTCCTCCTTTTCCAAGGATTGAGCCTTCGGAGCGGTGCTCCCCTTTTCGGTCTTTGTTGACGTGGTTCCTTCTCCACGAGCCATAAATACGTAGGAATCCAAAATTAATTTATCTGCAGCTTTCCGATCCTTTTTACTTTGTAAATACTCTCTATTTAAAGCTATTTTTCCTTGGCGTTCTTTTTCCATATCAGCAATGAGAAATTCGTGGATATTGGTACGTAGTGAGTCCGAGATTGTATATGTATGTGCAGAATCGTTCATGTCTTTAATTGAAACAAGTATAGAAAATCGTCCATAGTCCGGACGCTCCACCTCCTTGGCTAGAGGAGTGGAGCGCTTCAAAAACCCTTCTCGTGCAGCTTCTCGGCAATCTCCTTGAGGAACTCGTTGTCCTTGTCCCCGTTCTTGATCTCTTCCAGCATCGTGGCCTGATTGAAGAATGTGCGCTTCTTCCTTGGTTCCGGGCAGTTCCGTGCATTGTGCCCAGGCTGCTGACAGTTGTAGCAGATGATATTGCGGCCGTGAGCGTGGGTGCGATCGATTTCCATCGGAACCGGCTCGTTGGCGGCGGGTCGGGCCGGGGCGGGTGCAGGTGTCATTGGGGCTACCTGTGGGCGGAATTGGGGAGGCGGTCGTGGTGCGGAGTGCGCATGCAATGCTTTGCGCAGCTGATCGCGTAGAGCGTTTGCCTCGATGTTGATGCACCAGGCTTTGAACGCCCCATAGGCCTTGGGCAGAGGAACACCCGTGTTGTAGAGATGGCTGGCAATCTCGCTACTGAGTCCGCGCTCCAGGAACTCGATGAGGATATTGTCTTGGTCTCCCTTCTTGTATTCGCCCTTGTCGTCGGTGGTGTCGACCACATTGTATCCCGCATCCGAGGCCAACATCTCAAAGTCGGAGATGTAGTCCGCGAAGGACCGTTTGTTCTGGCGCAGGGCCATGAGTCGAGCCGCGGCGACTTGTTCCGCATTGGAGTCCCCAAAGGCCCTCTGGAGCTCCTCCAGGAAATTCTTTGATGTGACTCCTGCCTTCAGTCCCTGGAAACCATCGAAGTTGTGCTGCTTCCAGTTCATCGCCCATCTTGAGGCAGCGCAGCTTGTGCCGTTCTTGTTACGGAGGTAGGAGAGGACGAAGAGGATTTTGGTCTCGTCCTGCGAGAACTCTGATCGGTAGGCACCAATGTAGGTGGTGCACGAGTCTACGAAGCCCAGATATTTGGATTTGTCCCCATCGAAGTAGGGAGGGTTGGCGGCGAGGGTGATGCGATGGTGTCCTGACATGGTACGAGCAGGTGCAGTAGGTGGGGGTGAGGGCGGTTGTTCGGAGGGCAGCTCGTCGAGGTCTGGGATCTCGTCTTCAGGCGGCGGAAGGGCGAGATAGGGGTTGGAGGGCCCGGGTTTGTTTTGATGCGCCAGATCGGGCGACGATGGTACGATGGGGGGAGGGGATGGACTCCCAGACGACGATGGGAATCGGTACGAAATGGTGGATTCGTGTGCTGTACAAGCACTCGAGGAGAGGTTCTTTTGCTAGCAAAAAGATCCCGGGCCTAGCTCTTCACGTGCCCGATGATCCCGAGGTGCGTTTTCCCGAAGGTCTCCGCAGCACTCCTTGTAGCTACCATAAGGCTTGGGTCGGGCTCAACGTTACCTGTGGCCTGGTGCTGTTTGCTCGATATGAACCCTTCACTGCGATCGCAGAGAACGACTAGATGATTCGGTAGAAGGGTAAGTTGGTTGACAAGGGTTAAGAGGATATAGCGGGCGTAGCGGTGCAGGATGCAGGGTAAGAGGTATGAGGTAGGAGGGTATGAGGGGAGTCTTCGAATTATGTGACAATCAACACAAGATAATGTCGAAAAGAGAAGTGAATTCGAAGACTGGAGAATACAACCAAGTAGCTACAGTATTTATACCCAAATCCAGTCTGAGTCATATCTACAACTAATGAGTCATAGGGCTATGTACCGCATGGAACGCTGGTCATGGGTTGTAGTAGAACCTTCTGGAGCATATGTCGCGCAGCCTTGAATCGATAGAGATAACCCCTGGCCTGGACCGTCTGATGCCGTGATCCGTGATAAGATAAGTCGTGCCAAGATAAGATAAGATCATTGATGATAAGATGAGAAAGTGGCCAAACTATGACAAGTACCCCGCCAAGTCGAGGAAGTCGTCGAACTCGTCCGTGTATTTGAACACGTCGCGGGATCCCATGTAGTAAGCATGGGTCTCCAGTCGTGCCAGGGCATGGTCTTGCTCGTTCTCCTTGACGAACCGGAGCTTGAACTTGGCGACAAAGGAAGACCAGGTCGGGAATGGGAATACGAGGCGCTCTGACATGCGTTCTGACCAGGAGGCCGCCGAGTCCTTGGACATGTAGGAGAGGGCAAAGCGTACCACCCGCTCTTCTGATACTACCCCGTTCACATGGAAGGCCTCGGGGAGGAGGCGCCAGTACTGCTTGACGGAATGGAGAAACGTCTTGCCCTGGGTGCGATCCCCGTCAAATGCGAATGGGGGGTTGGGGCAGATGAGTGGTCTCGAGCTGGCTTGTTGGCCAGTAGATACACCTGGACCCACTGCCGGAGACGGAGCAGGGGCAGGGGAAGGCTGTTGCTGTTCAATTATGAGGTTGTGCAGGAGTCCCTCCATTTGTTGCATGGCTTCCTCTAGATTACCAAGTCGCTGCTTGGGGGAGGAGCCGTTGTCTTCTCCTTCCATGTAGGACATGATGATCGTAGAGGGGGAGGAGGGGACAAGATTGGAAGTGAGAGGTGTACAACGCTATTGGCGGTCTTCACAAGCTTGTTCAGTTATCCCTAGGAACTCGGGTTCTGCTGTAAGGGCAACCTCGAGGCCCGATCTCAGAGTCCTGACAAGGGAGAGTCCAAAGCGTCAGATAAGGGGATCGACTAATACAGGAGACTGGCAAACCTGACAAGGGAGAGTCCAAAGAGAAACCAAGTTGGGGACTCTCCTTGTCAGGGCCCACTATATATAGCCTATGAGACAATGGAGGTGCCAGACAATGGGGCCAGGGAACAATGAGGGGCTGGATTGGGGAGAACAATGGGAGCCAGACCGTTGGAACAATGGGGGTCCGGGCCGGAGTGTCATGTGGACGCGCTTGGCAGGGAAGTCCGGACCAAAGCATGTGACGCCGGACAGATAGCGTGTGCGCGGTCACATGCAAGATCCCATGATGATTGGACGAAAGCAGGGGTTTCCCTGACATCACCCCCCCTCTTGATTGCAGTGCCTCGACGCAAGGCACGGTTAGGGGTCAATGAGTCCCTGAAGGGTAGCAAGTCAAATACGGCCGCTGCAATGATGCGTGGCTTCCCAGGGTATCTGCGGTAAGACGCTGCCACTGCGTCGTCAGCAAACACATCTGAGTGCTTGACCCACTGGTTGTGAGACGGGTCATAGCCCTTCCATCGTACTCGGAACCAGACACTCCGGTGAAATGCTGAGGGCGCGCTCACAGGTGAATCTACTATGAAAGTAAACCCAAATATAAACACGTTCACACTCCTTGTAATCAGCTTCTCAGTGTGTGAAAGATGTGAGGGCTTCAGGGTGGACAGAACACCAGTATCACAACTCTCAATAGACGCAGATCAATAGTCGCGGAAGACAAAGTCGACGACAAGAATTTATATATAGCAAACAGTGGTGTCTCAACCAATATCTTCTATACGAACAAAACTGACACTAATCCAACCACAACCAACAATATCATGAGTTAGAGCTTAATACGAAGTATTAAGATCCCTCGTAGCGACGGCGTCCAGATGGTGACGCAAAGCCCAAATATCAAGTCGATGCACTGCCAACCAATACAACCAATATACTGAGTCGACGCACTGCCAACTAGTAGAACCAAAATGTTGAGTCGACGCACTGCCAACTGACACAACCAAAAGTACTGAGTCGACACACTGCCAACTAGTAAACCAAAATGCCGCGTCGACGCACTGCCAACTAACAGCCAATATCCAATGTCCAAAACCCGAGCACAACTTGTCGACGCACTGCCAAGCAAGAAGTGTGGAACCAAAGTTCTCAAGTCGACGCACTGCCAACTGACCAAAACAACCCGAGCACAACTAGTCGACGCACTGCCAAGCTAGAGGTGTGGAACGATCTCAACAAAGCCCTAAGGCGACGACACTAAATGCCGCGACTAAACCAGATGCAGCGAATCTGACTTTCTGATATCTCAACTCAAACTCAAATCACAGTAGCTACAAGTGCTCAGGGAGCAACTCGTTGCAACCGGGCAGGGGTAGCAGAACTTCTTAGGATGGAATCACGCGGCACGCAAATTGTACAAAACAATCTGATATGAGAATGATTCACAGTCCGGGGGAAAGCTCCTTAATACAAAGAAACAACGTGCTACTTATACTGTCTACGACAATGCTTAGTAAAGTCCTGTACAACTGCATAGTAGCTACGCTATCTAAGATTGGTTGCCTTTTAGGGTAATGAAAAGTTGAACGATCGGACAGGTCCTGAGTGATCAGGACCCCACCCCATAGTCCATATGGTACTTTTCATGTGGTTCAACTCACCGCGTCATACTTTTGGAATACGACGTGCTGGATTGGCCAACTGGTATGTCTTGGCAGGTGAGTCCAACGTGGGTGCCCCAAGAAGCCGTATGGCCCTAGGCATGCCAGTCGTTCCTCACATGGTTCGGTTCACGGATCTAGCCGTGTCGGTCTTAGTGTATTTGGGTATGGGCGCAACTCGCCATGACACTTGGAAGTGTCACCGCGACGCGTCCACAATGTCCCGTGATCGAATGGATCCTGACATGTGACAAGTCGTCACCGTAGCATGATCTGAGGAAACGTCTTAACCCAAAACCGGGAGTTGCCGCGGTGATAGGCTGGCTACCAGACGCGCTCTGCACCAACTCTGTAAGGGCGTATTTTTGCGCTTTTACAGAGTTTACTCTTGAACCACTCGGTGTATCGTGTCGCGGTTGACAGTGTTGCGCTCAGTAGGACTTAAGGGTCTACTGCCCAGTCGACGACTGTGGATAGTGTCGACGATAGCAAGGCAGTCAGATCACTACTGTGGAATTGGTCTTATGAGTCTACACCAGGCTCAGGGCCATTAGTGACAAACGCTTGGACCGCGACCATTCCCCCAAAAAGGGATCTGTTGTTGCGTCGACTTCTCGAAAAGGGTCATTCTCTGCAGATGGGAACTTGGGCTGAAGGGCTGAGCAATGCGCGACGTTCTCAATAATAGAACTACTACTGGACAGGACTTGGCGTTACGAGACTTAAACCATCTTGTCGCGGCAACTCCCGGTTCTGAGTTGGACGTTTCCTCAGATCATGCCACGACGACGACTTGTCACATGTCAGGATCCATTCGATCACGGGACATTGAGGACGCGTCGCGGTGACACTCCCAAGTGCCACGGCGATTCGCGTCAACACCCAAACACACTAGAAATCGACACGGCTAGATCCGTGAGCCGAACCATGTGGGGGACGACTGGCGTGCCTAGGGCCATACGGCTTCTTGGGGCGCCCACGTTGGTCTCACATGCCAAGACATACCCGTTGGCCAATCCAGCACGTCGTATTCCAAAAGTATGACGCGGTGGGTTGACCCACATCAAAAGTATCATATGGACTATGGGGCGGGGTCCTGATCACTCAGGACCTGTCCGATCGTTCAACTTTTCAATTACCCTAAAGGGCAACCGATCTTAGATAGCGTAGCTACTATGCAGTTGTACAGGACTTTACTAAGCAGCGTCGTAGACAGTATAAGTAGCACGTCGTCTCTTTGTATTAAGGAGCTTTCCCCCGGACTGTGAATCACTATCATTTCAGATTGTTTTGTACAATTTGCGTGCCGCGTGATTCCACCCTAAGAAGTTCTGCCATCCCTGCCCGGTCGCGACGAGTTGCTCCCTGAGCACTTGTAGCTACTGTGATTTGAGTTTGAGTTGAGATATCAGAAAGTCGGATTCGCCGCATCTGGTATTGTCGCGGCATTTAGTGTCGTCGCCTTAGGGCTTTGTTGAGATCGTTCCACACCTCTAGCTTGGCAGTGCGTCGACTAGTTGTGCTCGGGTTGTTTTGGTCAGTTGGCAGTGCGTCGACTTGAGAACTTTGGTTCCACACTTCTTGCTTGGCAGTGCGTCGACAAGTTGTGCTCAGGTTTTGGACATTGGATATTGGCTGTTAGTTGGCAGTGCGTCGACGCGGCATCTTGGTTTACTAGTTGGCAGTGTGTCGACTCAGTACTTTTGGTTGTGTCAGTTGGCAGTGCGTCAACTTGACATTTTGGTTCTACTAGTTGGCAGTGCGTCGACTCAGTATATTGGTTGTATCGGTTGGCGGTGCGTCGACTTGATATTTGGGCTTTGCGTCGCCATCTAGACGCTGTCGCTACAAGGGATCTTAATACTTCGTATTAAGCTCTGACTTGTTATATCGTTGGTTGTGGATTGTGTTAGTGTTGGTTGTGCCCGTATAGAAGATATTGGTTGAGATACCATTGTTTGCTATATATATATATCCTTGTCGTCGACTTCGTCTTCCGCAACTATTGGATCTGCGTCTATTGAGAGCTGTGATACTGGTGTTCTGTCCACCCCGAAGCCCTCGCATCTTTCACACACTGAGAAGCTGATTACGAGGAGTGTGAACGTGTTTATATTTGGGTTTACTTTCATAGTAGATTCACTTGTGAGCACGCCCTCAGCATTCCATCTGGAGCCCACCGCGAGGGGCTTCTAAAGTTTCATAAACTTTAAAAATCAATAAACCGGATTCTTTACCGCGACGTCGGATAGAGACCAAGGGTTTATCCCGCGAAGCAGTTTATTTCGATCCCAAGCTCCTGCGCGACCTCTTGAGGACCAAGCGGAGATTGAGACTGAAGGAAACGCTTCAACTTCAGGACCTTTCGAAAAACCACGAAGGTCTGCAAGACATAAAACACCTTTGTATCTACCACCCTTGCCTTCTAAGGCAAAAGGAAAACAAAGAGTGAATTCGTCGTCGAAGCTTCCAGCTTTAGACGCGGCTACTTCGAGTTCGACGACAATCAGTCGATCTCAGACTAGCTCACAAACCCTCTCAGAATTGTCTAGTAGCGTCACCGCTCCAAACACGAATTCTAACAACATCCCTACTTCCCCTGTGACTTCAGTCGCGACAACTATGGCTCCAAAGACTGGGTTCAAAATCCCTCAACCTTGGGACACAAGTAGACCTATACTTGATGAAAAGGATCCCCTGTCGATTGAGGCATATTTGCGTCACTGCGCGCAGATCGTGGAGGATGGTGGCATCACAGATGTCAAACAAGCAAAAAGCATGTACATCCGTTATTTGCCGTCGCGGCAAGTGATGGACGTATGGGAAGGTCTCGATACCTATTCCGACGACACGAAAACTGTCGCGGAGTTCGAGGCCGAAATATTAAAAGGATACCCTGAGGTATCCAAGCGAAAAACGGGGACCATGGCAGATCTAGATAGACTCTGTCGCGAGAACCGTGGAATCAAAATCACGGATGAGGGAGATTTGAAGCGCTTCGGCCTTCAGATGTACAGTCACTACAAGCGACTGTCGGTCCCTCCTGCCATTATTACCAACAAAGTCGCGTGTGAACGCTACATGCGTACTTTGGACTCTGAGTTCAGTACCGTCTTGAGGAACGCTTTGGCTACGAGTCAAGTATTCAATAAG